GCTGCTATACACCACCACAATGGATTTGAAATGAAACAAACAAGATGTGCTTTAACTGCAGACTGTCAGCTTTAATTTGAGGGTATTTACATCCAAATCAGGTGAACGGTGTAGGAATTACAACAGTTTGCATATGTGCCTCCCACTTGTTAAGGGACCAAAAGTAATGGGACAGAATAATAATCATAAATCAAGCTTTCACTTTTTTAATACTTGGTTGCAAATCCTTTGCAGTCAATTACAGCCTGAAGTCTGGAACACATAGACATCACCAGACGCTGGGTATCATCCCTGGTGATGCTCTGCCAGGCCTCTACTGCAACTGTCTTCAGTTCCTGCTTGTTCTTGGGGCATTTTCCCTTCAGTTTTGTCTTCAGCAAGTGAAATGCTCAATCAGATTCAGGTCAGGTGATTGACTTGGCCATTGCATAACATTCCACTTCTTTCCCTTAAACTCTTTGTTCGCATTTGCAGTCTGCTTTGGGTCATTGTCCATCTGCACTGTGAAGCGTCCAAAGAGTTGTGAAGCATTTGGCTGAATATGAACAGATAATATTCCCGAAACACTTCAGAATTCATCCGGCTGCTTCTGTCAGCAGTCACATCATCAATAAATACAAGAGAACCAGTTCCATTGGCAGCCATACATGCCCACGCCATGACACTACCACCACCATGCTTCACTGATGAGGTGGTATGCTTATGATCATGAGCAGTTCCTTTCCTTCTCCATACTCTTCTCTTCCCATCACTCTGGTACAAGTTGATCTCGGTCTCATCTGTCCATAGGATGTTGTTCCAGAACTGTGAAGGCTTTTTTAGATGTCGTTTGGCAAACTCTAATCTGGCCTTCCTGTTTTTGAGGCTCACCAATGGTTTCCATCTTGTGGTGAACCCTCTGTATTCACTCTGGTGAAGTCTTCTCTTGATTGGTGACTTTGACACACATACACCTACCTCCTGGAGAGTGTTCTTGATCTGCCAACTGTTGTGAAGGGTGTTTTCTTCACCAGGGAAAGAATTCTTCGGTCATCCACCACAATTGTTTTCCGTGGTCTTCCGGGTCTTTTGGTGTTGCTGAGCTCACCGGTGCATTCCTTCTTTTTAAGAATGTTCCAAACAGTTGTTTTGGCCACGCCTAATGTTTTTGCTATCTCTCTGATGGGTTTGTTTTGTTTTTTCAGCCTAATGATGGCTTCACTGATAGTGACAGCTCTTTGGATCTCATCTTGAGAGTTGAAAGCCACAGATTCTAAATGCAAATAGCACACTTGAAATTAACTCTGGACCTTTTATCTGCTCATTGTAACCGGGATAATGAGGGAATAACACACACCTGGCCATGGAACAGCTGAGAAGCCAATTGTCCCATTACTTTTGATCCCTTAACAAGTGGGAGAGGCACATATGCAAACTGTTGTAATTTCTACACCCTTCACCTGATTTGGATGTAAATACCCTCAAATTAAAGCTGACAGTCTGCAGTTAAAGCACATCTTGTTTGTTTCATTTCAAATCCATTGTGGTGGTGTATAGAGCCAAAAATGTTAGAATTGTGTCGATGTCCCAATATTTATGGACCTGACTGTACATTCCCTCGCTGCCTTTTTTCGAATTACTTTCCATACCCCCAATATCCCCCCCCCCACACACCACCACCAGGGGCGTATTTACCACAAGGCAAACTAGGCATTTGCCTAGGGCAGCATTTTTTAGGGGGACAGCACTGCCCCCTGGTAGAGGGGACATATGTGGCATGGGGACCAGGTGGGATCTGAGAGAGGCTGCGGGGTGCTTGATGGTGTATGCAGAGCCTGACTGTTGTTCCCGGGGAACTATGAAGGTGAGTGTCTATCTCCCTGTTGCCAGTGGGTGTGGGGGATGTTAGTGGAGGGTTTTCTTGGGTGGGGGGGGTCACTGTCAGTCTCTCTTCGTGTGTGTGTGTGTGTGTGTGTGTGTGGGGGTGTTAATGAAAGGCTTTCTTGGGTGTGGGGGGTCGCTGTCAGGCTCTCTCTGTGGGGGGGGGGGGGGGGTTGGGGTTGTGTGGGGATTCTGTTGGTTGGTGTCACCACCCCCGTCCAACTTCTGTGTTGCCTAGCGGCAGGCAAAAAAACTGAAATACCCCACTGACCACCATCCCACAGCACCACCACCCCTCACCCCACACTTCCCCCCACCCACCCCTTTAACAAGCCCCCACCCCCACCCCCCCCCACCGCATGCCCCCCCCCCCCACAAAAGTGGTTCCTCCATCCCTGGGTGTCTGGTACAAACCCCCCCCCCCCATTTACATCCCCTCCTACCACTACCAGTTCTGAGGCGCCGCTAGAGAACCCTCCCCAGGGAGTCCGTCCCCCCCCCGCGGTTTGCACACGGAAGGGACTGAGGTTTTTTCCCCTCACCCCCCCCCCCACTTGTCCACCCCTAAGGGTCCCCACCACCTATGCCCTCCCCCCCCTACATGACCCCCCATCCCCCCCTTACCGAAAACTCACCTGTGTGACTCCCACACTAAATTTGATAGTCCCCGCCCAACCACAGACCCCCCCCCCCGCCACCCCCCACTCCCCCCCCCCCCCCCCCCCACCCCTCCACCTACCCCCCCAACCCCGTTCGTTTTGCTGCTAACCCCCCCGAGTGACAATCCGGTAGATGACCCCCCCTTCACCCCCCTCCCGACTCCCCCCTTTCACTCCCCCTCGCCCTACATTCAATTGAACCTCCCCCTTTTTCCTCAATCGGAACTTGTCCGGGGTACCCCCCCGGACCTGTTACCCCCCCGTTATGATAACTGAGAACCCACCTGTTTTGTGAAAACCCCCTTGGGACCCCCCCCACTGGCCCCCCTCACTCTGACCACCACTTCCCCTATCTCTATACCCCCCCCCTTGTTTCGGGGCTAGATTTTTTTCACGTTTTTTCCTCCTACCCCCTCCCCGTTCTCCCCCACATGATCCCCAATTTAAAGGTCGAGGTCCCCTCGCTTCCCCTCTCTTTCTCCCTCCCCCCCGCTTTCCTTTCACCAACTTAAGCTTTTTTTTCAGTTAACGCCTTCGCAGTCCCTTTTGATTTCTTTTCTCCTTCCCCCCCGTTTTCTTTTCAATCAGCTACCCTCCCTCCGAGTCCCTGTACCTTCTCATTCTCTTTTTTTTTTTTTCGCTTCACGGTGGCTCGCCCACGGTCACCCCGACCCTTCAATCTCATCTTTTTGTTTGATTTTTTTCTAGCTTTTCACCCCCCCACCCCCCGCTCCTCCTTTCTCCCCTTTTTTGTCCCTTCATTCCCTCACTTTATCTTTTTTTTCTTCCCTACCTACTCCACCTTTTATTTCCTTCTCTTCCTCCTCTCCCCCCTTCTCTCCGTCCTTCTTTCTTTCCCCTTTTCTTTCAACTTCCCTCTTCCTCCTTGTCTTCCCCCCCCCTTCTCCTTCCCTTTTTTTTCTTTTCTTTCTCCCTCTTTTTTCTCCCCCCAGTCTCTCTCCCCTCATCTTCTCCTCTCCCCTTATCCCCCTATCCGCCCCACTCTCTTCCCCTTTCCCTCCCCCTCTCTCAACCCCCCTCCCTTCCCCCCCTACCTTCTCCCCACCCCCTTCTCCCCTCTTCCCCCTCCTCTTTTCCCCCCTTTTTCTTTCTCCCCCTTATTTTTTTTCCTCTCCCTCCTTCCATCCCCATCCCCCTCCCCCCCTCCCCCCTTCCCCTGCTTTCTTCTCCTTCTCTCCTCCTCTCCCTAATTCCTTTTCTCCCTCTCCCTCTCCCCCCCCCCCTCCTCTCTCTCCCCCTCTTCCCTCCCTCTCTCTCTCTTCTCTCGCCCTCTCCCCCCTCCTCTCTTCCCTTTCCCTTCCTTCTCTCCCTCTTTCCCCCTTCTTTCCCTCCCTTCCCCCCCCTCCTCTCTTCCTTCCCTCTCCCTCCTTTCTCTCCCTCCTCTCCCTTCCTCCCCCTCCCCTCTCTCCTCCCCCCCCCCTCCCCCCTCCCCCCCCCCCCCCCCCCCCCTCCCCCCCTCCCCCCTCCCCTCCTCCCCCTTTCTCTCCTCCTTCCTCCCTTCCCTCCTCTCCCCTCTCTCCTTCTCTCCCCTTCCTTCCCATTCCCCCCCTCCCTTTTTTCCCCCCCCTTTCCCCCTCCTTCTCCCCTCTCCTCTCTTCTCTCCCCTCTCTCGTTTTCCCCCCCCCTCTCTCTCCCCTCTCCTAGCTTTCCTCCCCCCCCCCCCCCCCCCCCTCTTCCCCCTCCCTTCTTCCTCCCCCCCTTCCCCCCCCCCAACCTCTCTTTCCCTGCCCCTTCCCCCCCCTCTCTTTTCCCCTTTTCCTTTCCTTTCTTTCCCTCTCCCCCCTCCCCCCTTCCCCTCTCTCCCCCCTCTTCCCCCCTCTTTCCTCTCCCTCCCTCCCCCTCTCCCCCCCTCCCCTCCCCCCCCTCCTTTCCCCTTTCCTTCCCCTTCTTTTCCCCCTTCCCCCCCCCCCCCCCCCCTTTTCCCTTCCCTTTCTTTCCCCCCCCCCCCCCTCTTCCCCCTCCCTTCTCTCCCTCCCCCCTCTCTTCCTTCCTCCTTCCTCTCCCTCTCTCTCTTTCCTCCACCCCCCCCTCCCCTCCCTTCCCTTTCCCCCTCCCCTCCCCCCTCTCTCTCCCCCCACCCCCTCTTTCTCTCTTCCTTTCCTCCTCCCCTCTCTTTCACTCCCTCTCTCTCTTTTTCCCCTCTCCTCCTCCTCCCTTCTTTTCTTCCTCCCCTGCCTCCTCCTCCTCCCTCCTCTCTCTCCTCCCCCCCCCTTCCTCTCTCTCTCCCCCCGTCCCCTTCTCCACCTCCCCTCCCCTGTCGCCTTCTTCCCTCCCCCCTACTTCTCCTTCCCCCCTTCTTTCTCCCTTTTTCCCCTCCCCCTCCCTTCCTCACCCCGCTGGCCTTTTTGGTTTCATTCTTTCATTCCGATAATGTAGCATTTGTTTATTTCTCTTTTTAAACATGCTTCCTTCCCTTTTGCATATATTCATATTCCCCTTGCTTATTTTCTTCCTGTACAGGGAGAATGTTTCGATCCTCAGCACAGACATGCTTTCTCTGGGACTCCTGACATTCTCTCTCAATGTATAGCACGCTGCTCCTGCCTTAAGTTTCCCTTCTTACCTGCTGACTTCAAATCCTCCGACCGTGCCTGCGGTGGGATCAATATGAGTATAACTCCTCCTCTCTTTCCGTGGCTATTATCAATCCTAAATTCCTGTTTTTTTTTTCTTTTCCTCTGTATTATAAACAGAGTGATAGCCGCCAGAACAGATGGCCTTTCCTTAACAGCTCATCCCCTTCCTGAAGTTCCTGGCTTACACAAATCCACTAATAAATGTCCCCAGTTCTCAATACCTTCTCCCTGCTCGGTATCATGCTGGAAAGTTGGGGCTCCCCAGGCAGAACGCCTTAATTTTTTTTTTTTTGGATAATTGCTTTTTTCTCTCCTCTTCCAGGCTTGATTGCAATCTTATTAAAAGTAGCAATGACTGGGTCATCCTCTTCTGTACTTCCCATGGGCTTCCAGAAAGCCTTCCAGTTTCTTGGGAAGGCCCAGAACCGCCCCACCCACCAGGTTGCCCACTTGCCTCTTTAGGAGGGGCGGAGACCAGACCTTTCCTCCTGCCTCGCCCGAGTCTTTCTTCGGTCTTTATTCTTCCCTCCTCACGCTATTACTGCACTCGCCTGGAAGAAATGCACTTATCCTCGAGTCCATCCCCCCTACTTGATTCAGGTTTCTACAATAACCAATATTGTCCCCCCCAGCTCATTAAAGTTTTTAGAGATGGTGGGGGGGAGAGGGTTAAATAAATCTTTTTCCTGCGGTTTGTCCTTTCCTAGAAATGAAAGCAATCCATTTATAAGGGATTTCAAAAAAAGTTTGGAATCCTTTTTTTGTTTGAAATGATCACATTCCCTCTGCTCTCAGCTGCATAAGATGGGGGAGGGAAACAGCTTTCACACTGATCTTTCCTGAATGGGCTGTCCATTTTTCACAAGTTCCCGTCCCTTGATTATTGGATGAAACAGGCTGAGTGTCCAGCACAGCTAGAGAACGGACTCCTCGATGTGCTCCCGTCTTCTTTAGTGAGTCACTTCCTCATTTTTCCTTAGGACTTCCATTGGGACTGACAGGAACACCAGGGTTTTCACACAAAGACTTTCCTTCGAGCAATACAAGAGAACAGGAGATGCTTTTCCTGGCCCATGATCTTTGTACCTTAACGACGGTACTATAGGCCCACATATCAGGAATAGGAAAAGTTAGGGTTTAGCATATTCTTTAAAGCGGCAGTTCCACCTGAAAATTCCTTAAAAAGACTGTCAGGGTTAAAAAACTTACCTCCTGACTTTCCTATCCCCGACCACTTACCTCCCTTCCCTCGGGGTCAAGGGCGATGTCCTTCACCATGGCTTTTTTTTTCTTCCTTCCGCCTTCTTAACGTCATCCCTAGGCAGCCTTCAGGCTGGGTACCCGCTTTGCCTTTACGGCTTCCCAGCCGGGGTGCCCACTGCGCATCCTGCGCAAGAAGCCTGGTTTTGTGAATGTCCCTCTTTCCACCTTCTTCTGGAACCCTTCACGGGTGTCCCAGTATTTCCTTCGGGAAGTCAAGGGTCCCGCCTTCCGGACAGAACCCCTTCTATTCCATCCCCTAGGTTTCGCATGGGAGTGGGTACCCTTCAAATTTGGGGTACCCACTCCTTGCACAATCCTTAAAGGGAGGGGGACAGGTAAGGCTTAAAGAGGAACTTCCCCTTCTTTGTGGTGGACGCTTCCCTTCCCCCCCCTTTATAAATGGAACAAGGTCCTGTACCTTTTAAAGCAGCCATTTTTCGGTATCTCCCAGTGTGGTTTTAGTTTCTAGTGCACTTTGACCATCCGAGAGTTGAAGAGGTCTTGCTCCAGCACATGGAGGAGGGGGACTCAGGCTTCCTCTCTCTCAGATATTCTGCTTCGCTGAAGACCAGACCTTTCTCATTCTTCTCCCCTCCAGATGTTTTGCTAAGGGGCTCATTGAGCAATGAGAGCGCTTCTCTCAGTTCACCACTGACACCAATGGTCTTCTTTTTAGCTACTAAGGGGGGGATTCTGACCACCAATGTAAGGAGCATTCTTCCCTACTGACCATATATCAATTATCTTTATCTGGGTGGTGTGTATGGGGTCCATTATTATTTATTTCGCTTACTTTATATAGCGTCGTCAATTTATGCAGCATTTACATATATATTGTACATTCACATCAGTCCCTAACCCTCAAGGGGTGTACAGTCTAAGGTCCCTAACTCACATTCATACCTACACATCATACTAGGGACAATTTAGACAGGATGCCAATTCACCTACCAACATGTCTTTGGAGTGTAGGAGGAAACCCACACAGGCACAGGGAGAACATGCAAACTCCAGGCAGGTGGTTGCCATGGTTAGGATTCGAACCGACGACCCGAGTACTTGCCAGGTGGAAGTGCTAACCATTTAGCCACTGTGCTGCCCGTAATGGAAATGGAGGGGAGGAAGGACACATGGGCTGCATAGAGAGCGAAGTATGGTATTAATGGGTCTTATCTTGCATTGTCTCCTTAAAGCGGAACTTTAAGCGGTTTTCTCTAAGCACACCCTCCTGCCTGAGCTAAGGGCAGATGGATTCCAGGAAGTAAATGCTACACGAGTCATCTGCCCTTACTCAAGATGGCGTGTGGCTAGAAATGCTAGTGATTTCTCTGCAATAATAAAGCATGTGGAGACATAGATGGATGGGGGAGTTTGCTTTGAATATTAAAATGAATTGTTTTTAGTTTGTGGTTCTCAGATGCTGTGTAGTTCCACTTTAAGAACTCCAGGAAATATAACTGGAAAGGTTGATAGAGTAATGCAGGCCATAGATGGGTCGAAAATCGGCCGATTTTTGGGGCCGAAAATAAAATCGGCCGATTTTCGGATCGTTAGTGCGCTAATTGTTCGGGGCCGGAGGTTGGGGGGGGTATTTTGGCAGATTTTTTTTATCGGCAAAGTTGGAAATAAAGCGGATACCGATTTTGCCGATCGGCCGATTTTCGTGGCAATGGAAAGGGGGGCAAATTGGCCGATGGGGTTTTACCGTTAAAAAAATCTGGCATGAGGGTGGGTGGGGGATGGGGGGGGGGGGGGGGGGGTGGGGGGGGGGGGGGGGGAGTGGGGGGAAGGAAGAGAAGGATGATGAAGAAGAGGCATGAAGGGATCTGAAAGAAGAGATGTAGAACAGTGATGCAAGAGGAAGACACAAAGAAGAGGAGGATGAAGAAGAAGAGGAGGATGAAGAAGAAGAGGAGGATGAAGAAGAAGAGGAGGATGAAAGAAGAAGAGGAGGATGAAGAAGAAGAAGAGGATGAAGAAGAAGAATGGATAAGAGAGGAAGAAGAGGATGAAGAGGAGGATGAAGAAGGAGAATTCCAGTCCGGCAAAAAGTGTCCCTGCAGAGAGCTCCGCTATTTCTTTGACAGTTCCTTGACATTTATAGCGGTTGCAACAATGTATCCATTTAGGATACAGATGTTTTTATTTGGAAACAAATAGATACATTGTTGCAACCGCTATAAATGTCAAGGAACTGTCAAAGAAATAGCGGAGCTCTCTGCAGGGACACTTTTTGCTGGCTGTAGACTGGATGAAAATCGGCAAAATTGTTATTTTTTTTTTTTTTTTCCGTTGCTGGTAACGTCGGCCGCTTGAACGACCGATTTTTTTTCGTTTTTTTTAAAGAAAAATCGTCCCAGTTTTCTCCCCATCTATGGCCTGCATAACTGTACTTAGCTCCAGGTATTCAGTCTAATTGACCATGGGGGACAACTCCCTCCGTTGTTCCCAAAAGTCACATGTAGGTCTCTACAGAGCAGTACAATTGCATAGATTTGAGTACAATTGCACAATTGAGTAGAATTTTGGGGTGCGAGGGGGGGGGGGGTTCTTTTCTGGTATTGTAACGAGGACTTCCCACTCGTCTGCTCATCCTTTGCGCTCTAAAGTTGCTTTCTATTTTTCCTTTTGGTTCCATTGCAACCCATAGGTCTCTCTGCCTATTTTTTTTTTAGCATGTTACCATGAAGTACTTTGCGTATTTGCTTATCCTTTGCTGATGAGTAACATTTGTCTCTTAAGTCACTTCTAAGAGGCAGATGTCTTTCTTGGCATTACACTCGGTTAATAAGCTTTGACTAAGTTTATCTATGACATGGATTTAATTGGCACCATCCCTAACGAATTTAAAAGTCACATAATTTTTATGCTCGCCTAAGCATTGTGGCCGCATTGAGCAGGCTTTACACTGGGCTTCTGGGCAGGGGCTGAAGCCTATGGACCAGTGTGGTGTCCGCTTTTTTGATATGGGAGGCTTGTGTGCAGTCCCTGACATCACCAAAGGGCCGTACATACAATTCAGTGAATATTCAGTCTCAGAGAAAGCAGGCACACATCAGGATATGCAAAAGGTTTCCTATCTGACGCTTTTGTGTAGAGAGATTATTATTATTATACAGGATTTATATAGCGCCAACAGTTTTGCTCAGCACTTTACAAAATGAAGGCAGACATTACAGTTACAATACAATTTGGTACAAGAGGACACAGAGGGCCCTGCTCCTGGGAGCTTACAATCTAGGAGGAAGGGTTGAGTGATACAAAAGGTAATATATATGGGGGGGATGAGCTGATGGAGGAAATAAATGGCGGTTTACTAAGTAGAAGCAGGATAGGCTTCTTTAAAGAGAAAGAAAGAGGTTTTCAGGGATCGTCTAAAGGTGGATAGATTAGGAGACAGCCAGACAGATTGGGTAGGGAGTTTCATAGGATGGGAGAAGCTCAAGAGAAGTCCTGGAGGAGAGCATGGGAGGAGGTGACACGGGAACTAGAGAGCAGAAGGTCTTGGGAAGATTGAAGAGAGCGGTTTGGTTGATATTTTGAGAGATGGAGTAAAGGTGTCCTCCATGCAGTGTCTTTTGTAGAAGGTACACAGCAGGGGCAGACTGACCATTTGGAAACTCGGGCACTGCCCGGGTCAGTAGGGGGCCCCATGAGATGCCCCTGGTACCTTTTTCATAGGCTTTTTTGAGTTTGGGCAAGGACACAGGGGCCTCATGATCCCCTATTGCCCAGGGGCCCCATGAGTTGTCAGTCCGCCCCTGGTACACAGTGTGGGCTCACCAATCCTGATGATACCCAGACTCAATGGGGCTCCTGAAAAATCTGTAACCAGTGAAGTGTTCCTGAACTATGCTCCTGGTGACGCTGGGATTTCGCTGTATCTGTAACGGTGACGATAAGATTGACCCCCAACTGTCACACTCGACCGACAGGGGAGCTGGCGATGGTGGAGCTGCCTACAGGTGAAGACTCTCCACAGTGTCCCGGGCCGTGGCACCTACTCACGTTCTCCAGAGTGGCTGCGCCCCTCCTCTCAGCTGAAGGCATAGTCCCTTCCCTGGGACAGGCTTTTTATCTCCTCTTCCAACATTCTTCCCTCCCTAGCCCACTGGAACTTGAAGTTTGTGGCAAAACTGGCTCCATGTAAAACCCAACTCTCTGGACTACATGTCCCACAATCCCCTGCTTTCAATAGTGGCTCCCTCTGCTTCCAGGAATTGATGTCACAATGGCTAGGCTGATCACTAGAGATCGCTTCCATAGCCCCTGATACCGGTGCCCCCGCATGCTTCCACCATGTATCCGGGCCCCGCTGCCTTTCTGCTGGCCCGAGGAGTGCCATCGCGGGAGCCGGTGGGTGGAGGGGAGAGAAGAGAGAGGACGAAAGTACGCTCTCCTCCCCTTCTTTCTGTGACCCGGAAGGTGACTGTCACTGCCGGGTCACGGCTGTCACTTTCCTCGGCTAGAACAGCAGGGAAAACATGTATTGCAATTGCATTCCGATACATCTAGTGGAGACCAGATTAGACATTGGGGGTCTTTTAGACCATGCATGTCTCAAAGAGAACCTGTCACCTAAAAATCATCATCCTTGTGTCCCCTATGTGATGAAAAAAAAAGTTAAGTAAAAAAAAAATGTTTTATTGCAAAAAAATATAGTTACACCCAAGCACATAACATCCCCCCCCCCCATACACACACACATACATATCCGCACATACAAATGTAAACGCACAAGTCCGGGTGCCTGTGTGTGAAAACGTCGATTGCAATACACGTTACATATCACCATGCACCCCAGAGTGGAAGCAATAATTCTAGCACCGGACCTCCTCTGTACCACTAAGCTGATGACCTAGAGGGGGCTTTTGAAACATTGCCTACAGAAAATATAAGGTACTGAAGTTTGTCTCCATTTCATAGGTGCACACAGATTTAAGGTTTGGCATGTTGGGTATGTATTTACTCGGTGCAACCTCGTCTTTTATATTTTACTAAAAACATGGGTAATTTATTGCGTTTGTGTGCCCTAAAATTCACTTATTTATGTATCATTTATTTCAGGTACTTATACAGCGCCGTCAATTTTACGCAGCGCTTTACAATCTAAGGTCCCTAACCCTCAATACAATCTAATTGTACAGGGGCGTACAATCAGGTCCCTAATCAGTACAATCTAAGGTCCCTAACCCTCAAGGGGCGTACAATCTAAGGTCCCTAACTTACATTCTAACTTACATTCATACATACACATACTAGGGACAATTTAGACAGGAGCCAGTTCACCTACCAGGAGTGTGGGAGGAAACCGGAGTACCTGGAGGAAACAGGCACAGGGAGAACATGCAAACTCCAAGCAGGTGGTGCCGTGGTTGGGATTCGAACCAACGACCCCTAGTACTGCCAGGCAGAAGCGCTAAGCATTTTTACTGAAATTTTGCATTTCCTACACCTTTTCAGTAATATTGTGTGACATAAAAAAATTGGAACTACCACTATCTTGTTCTCTAGGGTGTCTGCTTTCAGAAAATCTATAACGCTTGGGGGGGTTTGTGTAATCTTCAAGCCTGAACGTGTGCAAAAAAAAATGCAAAACCGGCTCTGGCAGTGAAAGGGTTAAGGAATGTCCATAAACACCCATAATCTGAGTTTCCTGCACAGATGTATCGCTCTGCTTTACACAATAACGAACTTTCAGTAGAAGGATTCTCCAGCTGTTTTGAAAGATTCTCACGAAAAAAACAACTTCATCTGGAAAGCCCCTGCAGCCTGTTCTTCATGTAGACATGGATGCTGTAAAACTGCATTTATATTGACTGATGCAGAGAGAGCTTCAGAAACCAGAGACCATTGAAGAAGGAATGGTCCTTCCATAACCATCAATGAGATTCTCTGTCATTTTCTATGTAGAACTGGAAATCTGAAGGAGAGGATCTGATTGCTTACCATTGGCTTTGAGATCCACCATGGGCCATGGCCAAGAGACCCATTGGGGTTGATTTACTAAGGGCTCATGTACACGGGGCGTCTGGAAAACTTTTCTGAACGATGGAAACAAACTGCTGGAAAACGTAGGTTAAAAAACGTCTGTTTTGTGCGCGTTTGCGTTTAGAAGCGTTTTTTAAAGATAACCTCAGGAGACCTTCCAAATGCCCAGAATGCACTGAAAAACAGTAACTAATTAACTATTTCAGACATTTTGAGAGAAATAGAGAGAGCAGAAGCAGAGAGAGCAGTATGTGTGGAGATGACCGGTCTTTTCTGGTTGTATTCACTATGGATCCCATCGTGAGCATAATGCGGCGCGTTCTACCATTTTTTTTTTTCCTTCACGTGAAACCTGCAACTGACTGCGTTGGTGTACCGGATCCATTTGAGTGCACGGAAAACACTTTGCATGCATTTCTGATGATGAAAAAAGGCTCTGCACAGCATTTGAACATGAAACAGTTAAAAAAGCGCTTCTAAATGCAAGCGCTTCTAAACGCGGTTAACCACGTTTACAAGCATTTGAAATGCCGGTAAAATCTTCTCCTGAACGAAAGTTTGGTGCGTTAAAAAAAAAACGACTGTAAACTCAACTGCCTGTAAAGGACGATGTGTACATGGACACATAGGAAAACATTAGGAAGAGTTCAGGGGCTGCTGAAAAAAACGCCGAACAGCTTCTGAACGTCAGTGTACATGAGCCCTTAAACTGCATGGTGAACAATCCGGCGCAGCTCTGCATAAACCAATCAGCTTCCAGATTCTATTGTCAAAGCTTAATTGAACAAGCTGACGTTAGAGGATGATTTGCTATCATGCACAGCTGCACCAGATTTTGCACTCTCCTGTTTTAGTAAATCAACCCCATTGCGTCTTAGAGGACAGATGCACCCAAACGTAATATTTTCGTTCTAGGAGAAGCCTGGCATGCTGAGTCAGCCCTTGGCTTCTTATTTGTCTTGGATATGCCAAAAACAAGATCTTCAATAATTCCCCAGTCTGTATCTATCCAACTGGGAATTTTTGGTCTTCTCTTTCTTTGGGTGTTCCAGCTCTTCCTGTTACATTCTCTGTAATGCAAAATGAAAAATAATTCTAGCAGAGATGATGGGAACCCTTCATAAAGGACACAATAGTGGTTCAGACTTAGGAATTTATTGTGAAGATACAGGTAACCCCTTATTTTGGGCACAGCTGATGTGCAGAGCTGGGAATTCAGCCCAGGGATCTTGGGAACTTCTCAAAAGGGGCACAGTGGGTCTACAGACCTGGGAGCTCAGCACCAGGTTGGTGGGAACCCAACACAATGGGCACAGCGGGTGTACAGACCCGGGAGCTTAGCACCAGGTTGGTGGGGGAACCCAACACAATGGGCACAGCGGATGTGCAGACCTGGGAGCTCAGCACCAGGTTGGTGGGAACCCAACACAATGGGCACAGCGGGTGTACAGACCCGGGAGCTTAGCACCAGGTTGGTGGGAACCCAATACAATGGGCACAGCGGATGTGCAGACCCGGGAGCTCAGCACCAGGTTGGTGGGAACCCAACACAATGGGCACAGCGGGTGTACAGACCCGGGAGCTTAGTACCAGGTTGGTGGGAGCCCAACACAATGGGCACAGTGGGTGTACAGACCCGGGAGCTCAGCACCAGGTTGGTGGGAACCCAACACAATGGGCACAGCGGGTGTACAGACCCGGGAGCTTAGTACCAGGTTGGTGGGAACCCAACACAATGGGCACAGCGGGTGTACAGACCCAGGAGCTCAGCACCAGGTTGGTGGGAACCCAACACAATGGGCACAGCGGGTGTACAGACCGGGAGCTTAGCACCAGGTTGGTGGGAACCCAACACAATGGGCACAGCGGGTGTACAGACCCGGGAACTTAGTACCAGGTTGGTGGGAACCCAACACAATGGGCACAGCGGGTGTACAGACCCGGGAGCTCAGCACCAGGTTGGTGGGAACCCAATACAATGGGCACAGCGGATGTGCAGACCTGGGAGCTCAGCACCAGGTTGGTGGGAACCCAACACAATGGGCACAGCAGGCGTGCAGACCCAGGAACTCAGTCCAGTCATGATGGTAACTCATAATGGGCACAGCGGGAGTACAGACCTGAGAACTCAGTGCGGGAATGGAAGGAACACCTCATAATGGGTAAAAAGATCTTACAAGCAGAGTCCCTGAGAGACTGAAAAAACTGCCAGGGGTCTTAACTGTGCAGCGTCTACTCAAAACTTAAAGGATGAGCTGATATTTAAGTACCCCTTATGCCTGAAATAAAGGCGTTCCCTAAAGCAGCCACTCAGATCACAGCGATTGTGTTTCATGTGCTGCTTGGAAAATATAAGCATGGATATGATTGGTTGCTGTAGGCCATGTAGACATTTTTCTATGAACTCTTTGTAGGTGGTGATCATTTTTCTTATTTCTCTTCCCATGCAGGACATGAGTATGCCGTAGACAATCTGAAATTTGCAGAAGTGGTGGAGCCTGAAAATGCTGTGCGCGACCGGAAGTCCCAGTGGGTCAATCAGCAAAGGCTGGAGAAGAAGTGTACGGTTAGTACCGGTAGTTGGCTGGATCAGGGGGTGTATCACGGTAACAATTCTGTAAATGACCCAAGGACAACTTTGAGAGGATGTTCGAGGCCATACACAGACTTTGGTCTGTCTTAACAATATTTACCAAAGCCTACGTAATCTGAAGATCTACCTTGTTGGATCTAATTTGATTGTTTGGACCAGTGGTCTCCAAACTGCAGCCTGGGGGCCCATTGCTAGCCTGTAACCGGCGCTTGGTGCACTAATCCTCCCACTGACCTCAACGATGGAGCACTATTCCTCCCACTGACCCCAATAGTGTGAGGAACTATTCCTCCCACCGACCCCGAGGATGGGGGGAACTCTTCCTCCCACCGACCCTGAGGATGGGGGAACTATAGCTCCCACCGGCCCCGAGGACGGGGGGGGGGACTCTTCCTCCCACTGGCCCCGAGGACGGGGGGGGACTCTTCCTCCCACCGGCCCCGAGGACGGGGGGGGGGGACTCTTCCTCCCACTGGCCCCGAGGACGGGGGGGGGGACTCTTCCTCCCACCGGCCCCGAGGACGGGGGGGGGGGACTCTTCCTCCCACCGGCCCCGAGGACGGGGGGGGGGGGACTCTTCCTCCCACCGGCCCCGAGGACGGGGGGGGGGGGACTCTTCCTCCCACCGGCCCCGAGGACGGGGGGGGGGGGGGGACTCTTCCTCCCACCGGCCTCGAGGACGGGGGGGGGGACTTCTTCCTCCCACCGGCCCCGAGGACGGGGGGGAACTCTTCCTCCCACCGACCCCCTAGGATGGGGCAGTATGAAATGAAACTGGCCCAACATAATGACAGTTTTGCATTAGAGGTAGCACGAAAAGAGACTGGCAGTAATCCATAGAATCCAGTCAGGTTCTGCCTTATATCAGTTTAGAGAAGCCAAGACAAAAAAAAATATGATGAATTCTGATTGGCTGCTATGGTTTACTACCCTTTGCAGCATGCCTTTTGACTCATGACATTGGCTTTAGTCTGGTTATTAAAGTACTTTATATTTTTTCTTTACAGTGCCCGTCCACCATAGGTGAAGAGAAGGAGTACAATCCATTCCTGCGGACGCATTGCAGGGACTTGCACATGGCGCTGGACCTCCAGCGAGGGGCGGATGAGGAATGGAGTCATTTTCGTGCTCGAGTGTTAGAGGAGGTCCGACGAAGGAAAGATCTTTTCAAGGAACGATAGTTTCCTCATCTCAGGATAATGGACGGCTGTGCAGAACGACTCCCCCCCCCCCCCCCCCCCCCCCCCCCCCCCGCCTCCAGGCACCCCAACCTCAATCTGTGATGTCACCTCCATCATTGGTGTGCTGTGAAATCTTCCCTGTTTGTTCTGCAACTGAGATTTATTCTGAGGACACTGAAACCTGCCCAGAAGAGCACTCTGATCACCTGTACAGAAATCAACCCCAATGGTTTCCCCAAGCAATGACACTTGTACTAATGTATTAGGAACTCAACATGACCCATTTTTGGAAACATGCTGGAGAACTATATAGAGAAGTGGGGAGGGGGGGTCACTGCAATCTGTCCACCATTACATAACCAGGGGGACTGTTTCATTGGTGTGAACACTAGTAGTGGCCAAGTGCCACAGACTGGAGGGTTCTGCAAAATATCAAATTGATCCTTTTATGTGTCGTCCTCTCTTCCTATTTTCTCTACTGTATTTCTTTTGGCAATTTCTATGACACATCTTCATCGGCCCTCTGTTTCTTTTACCAGAATTCAGTCTGTCAGATTTTTTTTTTTTCTCCCGTTTCTTCCTGCCCCTCTACACGTCTTTCTCCTTCCATTCATTTTCTCTGCCTCTTTTACTTCCCATTTTTGCATGCATTTGCAGTGCATCTTTCCTAAGCTTGCATTTCCTTTGAGGTCCCTTCCATCTTCTTTCGACTTTTATGTGTACTGCACTGTTGTGTATATTTTTGTGCATTTGAACACGTTTCTGTGTACGTGGAAAAATGCAGTTTGCTGTAACTTTTTTTTTCACTGCAGTGCACTGCAATGGTGTGAACTATGCCCATAGGATAAGCTGGATTTTCGACTGTCTATGCAGTTGGAGTGCAGTCAGAAGAGCACCCCCCTGCATCAGGTGTAAATGGGCCCTCTCTCTCTCTTCCCATTCTCTCTCTCTCTCTTCCCATTCTCTCTCTCTCTCTCCCCTCTGTTTGTTTCACCATTCTCTCTCTCTCTCTTCCCCTTCTCGCGCGCTCTCTCTCTCTTCCCCTTCTCGCGCGCGCGCTCTCTCTCTTCCCCTTCTCGCGCGCGCGCTCTCTCTCTTCCCCTTCTCGCGCGCGCGCTCTCTCTTCCCCTTCTCGCGCGCGCTCTCTCTTCCCCTTCTCGCGCGCGCTCTCTCTTCCCCTTCTCGCGCGCGCTCTCTCTCTTCCCCTTCTCGCGCGCGCTCTCTCTCTCTTCCCCTTCTCGCGCGCGCTCTCTCTCTCTCTTCCCCTTCTCGCGCGCGCTCTCTCTCTCTTCCCCTTCTCGCGCGCGCTCTCTCTCTCTTCCCCCCTTCGCGCGCGCGCTCTCTCTCTTCCCCTTCTCGCGCGCGCTCTCTCTCTTCCCCTTCTCTCGCGCGCGCGCTCTCTCTCTCTCCCTCCCGCTTCTCGAGCTCTCCCCCCCCCCTTCTCACGCTCTCTCTCTCTCTTCCCCTTCTTTCTCTCTTCCCCTTCTTTCTCTCTTCCCCTTCTTTCTCTCTTCCCCTTCTTTCTCTCTCCCCCCTCGCTCTCTCTCCCCCCTCGCTCTCTCTCCCCCCCTCGCTCTCTCTCCCCCCCTCGCTCTCTCTCCCCCCCTCGCTCTCTCTCTCCCCCCTTCTCGCGCTATCTCTCTCTCCCCCCTCGCTCTCTCTCTCCCCCCCTCGCTCTCCCCCCCCCGCCCTCGCTCTCTTTTCTCTTTTCTATCATCCACTTTCCCTCTATTACTTTGACTGTACTGACACATGAATGATCTAGGTGAACTCTAATGGGTACTCTAACAGGGATAGCACCGTAGACCCTCCGCAGTGGTATTCCATTTTGATGTTCTACCAGCAGTGGGCAGGTTCTCAATCTTCTGTATATGTTAGAACACTCAGAGTTACATATATGTACATTCTATAGTTATGTAAATATCCTCAGGCTTTATGTTCCTCACATTTTGTGTTTAATTTAGTGAAGATGCAGAATAATTTATCAGATGCTGACACAAGGATTCCTTGAAATGTGAAACTCTAATAGATGATAATAAGGTCTTTGTGACTCGTCCTTCTCAGATATATACGTATTGCAGTAGACTGTGTGCACCAGTCTTGTAGCCATTGGTTCGGTTTGGCCTCCAAAATGGCACCCTCACTCAACATTGCATGGCTGATCCGGAATATTTAAATCATTTTTAGAATCTGCACTTGTATTGGGTCATTCTACAAAGACTGTGATGTCCCTTCCAGTGCCAATATCACAATATCAAGTTGCTGGTACCTGTGAAGTTTGTGGAAAAAACAGTTTAGCAACTTTGTACAAGCCAGCTCCGTATTCGTTCTGAAGTGCCTCGGTTATTGTCGTTGGTGAACAGTCCGATACCCTGGACTCGTGATTATTACCTCAACCTACAAACTCTTTGCTTCCATTGTGTGGGACAGGTACTCTTTTAGCCTAGGATGTACATGTATGTGTTGGCCTCTGTTGGGCTTAAAGTGTTACTAAACCCACAACCGTAAAATCAGTCTGTAGATGCAGTAAAGCATGCTTGTTATACTCACTGTGGAACTTAAGGGGTTAATCCCCTGCAATATATAAAAAGGCTGTTTGATCCTGTCTTCACTGATCCTCCCCAACATTTGCTGTCCCCAGTCTATCTGCCATAGTTTTAGCAGCAGTGGCAAGTCTGCACATGCTCTGTTTGGTGTGTATTGCTAGAGTTCTTTTGTTTTTTTGTAATGGGAGGGTGCATGTGATCGGCACAGGACTAATCAGCACTGTCCACCCCGAGGGTCAGAAGTCATGCAATCTCATAGAACAGTCAAAGGGGAATGCAAACTAGCTTTAACCAGTGCTCATCTGGACACTGATAGAAGTCACAATACTGCTCTAACTGCTGAGAAAGGGTATTTATCAGTTTACATTTATTAAAATAATTGCATTTCCATGTTCTGTGTGCTGTGGAAGATCACATATAGTGAATGCCGGGTCTGGGGTTTAGTAACACTTTGTAGATTGCTGTTTACTTTCATATTTCCCTCTTTTCCAGGCATCACTGGAATGAGACCATAGACATAGAACAACTGGGTATTAGCATGGCAATAAAAATATTGATAATGTGAACATTCAGTAACCAATCAGTGTTCATCTTTAACTGCGCTGACTACTGTAAACTAAACGCGGATTGGTTACCTTCGTTGGTGCAGTATATTATTTCTTGGTGTTAAGAAGTAATAATTGGTGTCATTTTTTTTTTTTTTATCTTTGTGTAAGCGTGTATGTGATGTGCTGTGACATTCATTGGTAAACCTGACAACTTGGATCTTCCAAAAACAATATGGTAATTTATTCATAACATATATATTTTTGTTACTAAAGTATACAAAATTCAATTGATAAGGAACTCTTAGAAGCGGTAGTGCCAACTCAAGTATGTCGTGGCTTGTGATGTTGCAGAGGTGAACTTGCTTAAGGGCCCACATACACTTCTGTGTTTTGGTAACTCATGCATTATCACAAAGCTCAGTACAGTATATAACATACGTTGCTGCACTGAGATGCCATTCATTTTCAATGGCTCTCTAATGCTTTAAGGCAGGGGTCTCAAAACTTTCTAAACAAAGGGCCAGTTTACTGTCCTTCAGACTTTAGGGGGGACAGACTGTGGCCAGTGAGAGTAGAAAATGCCTCGGCACCATTTGGAGTACACAGTGTCTCAGGCGTGGTGGTCACTTGAAGTAATTTACACAACGCCTGTGGTCAGTAGGAGGAGAAATAGTGCCCTATCATTGGCCCATCATGGTGTCAGTGGAGGAATAGAACTCCATCATTGGTAACCAGTAGCAGGAATAGTGCTCCATTGTTGGTGTCAGTGGGAGGAATAGAACTCCATCATTGGTACCCATTGAAGCAATAGAGCCCTATTGATGTCAATGGGAGGAATAGTGCCCCATTGTTTGTGCCATTGGAAGCAATATGCCTCGTATCAGTAGGAAGAATAGTGCTCCATCATTGGTATCAGTAGGAAGAATATTGCTCCATCATTGGTATCAATAGGAAGAATAGTGCTCCATCATTGGTGTCATTGGGAGAAATGGTGCCCCATTGCTGGTGTCAGTGGAAGGAATAGTGCCCCATTGTTGGTGACATTGGAAGAATTGGTGCCTCGTATCAGTAGGAGGAATAGTGCCTCATCATTGGCCCAGTTTTCAATGGCAGCCTCCTATTGATACCAGCTGTCCTGACAGGTTTTTCTTAAGATGACCTTAATCTGTGTGCCACTAGACGCACTACTATGGAATGGGGCACATTTCCCACGTACTTTGTTCCTAGCAAACTGATGGGCCGAAAACTACTAAAGCTGAACTCAAGGCAAATGGCTAAATATGCAGTAAAAAAAAAAAAAAAAAAAAAATATATATATATTCCAATCCTGTATTCCAGACACCCCAGCAGACAGCACAGCTTGACTGTGACCCGCGTTTCTGTGGAGAAGGGCCCCCTATATTGGTGGTCTGCAGAGGAGGGCTCCCTGATATATTGGTGGTTTGTGGAAAAAGACCCCTCCTGACATTGATGGTCAGTTGGGAAGCCAACTACTTTGGTGGTCATTGCGTAACCCCTTTGCACTGGCGGTTAGTGGGGAAGGGCCCACCTACATAGGTGATCAGTGTAGAAGTGCCCCTTCCCCGACACTGGAGGTCATTGAAGGGCCCCCAGACATTTGTGATTGCTAGAGAAGCGACTTCCCTTAATTCATGGTTGCTGAAGAAGTGCCCCTCTTACCTTGGTGGTTAGTGGATAAGTTCTTTTCAGTGATAATCATTGTAGTGCCCTCACACATTGGTGGGCAATGGAGAAGATACCCCTTACTTTGGTGATCAGAGGGAAATGACCTCCTTAAATCTATGGTTGGTGGAGAAGGGCCCCCTTACATTGGTCGTAAGTGAAATGTACCCTGACATTGGTGGTCAGTGGTAAAGGCTCCCTTTTTCATTGGTGGTCTGTGGAGGGGGGCTCCCTATATTGGTGGTCCGTAGAGGAGGCCCCCCCCCCTATATTGGTGGTTTGTGGAGACCTGACATTGGTGGTCAATGGAAAAGAGCTTCTTATATTGGTGGCCTTTGGAGAAGGGTCCCCTGACATTGGTGGTTCATGGAAAAGGGTCCCTCCTGACATTGGTGGTCAGTTGGGAAGCCAATTATTTTGGTGGTCTTCGCAGAAGACTCCCCTTTACACTGGTGTTCAGTGGGAAAGGGCCACTTGCATAGATGATCAGTGGAGAAGTGCTCCCCTCCCCGAAACTGGAGGTCATTGAAGGGCCCCCAGACATTTGTGATTGCTAGAGAAGAGACTTCCCTTAATTCATGGTTGCTGAAGAAGTGCCCCTCTTACCTTGGTGGTTAGTGGATAAGTTCTTTTCAGTGATAATCATTGTAGTGCCCTCACACATTGGTGGGCAATGGAGAAGATCCCCCTTACTTTGGTGATCAGAGGGAAATGACCTCCTTAAATATATGGTTGGTGGAGAAGGGCCCCCTTACATTGGTCGTAAGTGAAATGTACGCTGACATTGGTGGTCAGTGGGAAAGGCTCCCTTTTTATTGGTGGACTGTGGAGGGGGGCCCTCTATATTGGTGGTCCATAGAGGAGGCCCCCCTATCTTGGTGGTTTGTGGAGACCTGACATTGGTGGTCAATGGAAAAGAGCTTCTTATATTGGTGGCCTTTGGAGAAGGATCCCCTGACATTGGTGGTTCATGAAAAAGGGTCCCTCCTGACATTGGTGGTCAGTTGGGAGGCCAATTATTTTGGTGGTCTTCGCAGAAGACTCCCCTTTACACTGGTGTTCAGTGGGAAAGGGCCCACTTGCATAGGTGATCAATGGAGAAGTGCTCCCCTCCCCAAAACTGGAGGTCATTGAAGGGCCCTCAGACATTTGTGATTGCTAGAGAAGAGGCTTCCCTTAATTCATGGTTGCTGAAGAAGTTCCCCTCTTACCTTGGAAGTTGGTGGATAAGTGTCCTCCCCACACCCCACCCTCCTTTTTTCTACATTGGTAGTCAGTGAAGTTTTTCAATTTCTTTCTGTGGTCAGTAGAAAAAATGCTGCATAGAGACCAGGATATTGCAATTGCAATGGTTACTGAGAGGCTCCACTGGTCCTTCACCGTGGCTCTGCCAAAGGGCTCCCCTAACAACCTTAGAAGGAACCCCTAGAATTCAGACAGCGGTTAGAAAAGCTGAACGAGGAGGACAAGCATTCAGACATGTAGACCAGAAGTCTTGTCTTCTGTGGGCTTCAGCTCTTCCATAAGTGGAAAGACCTTGCTGTGTACCACCCACGTAAATGTCTGGTATAGAATCCAGTAGAGATTTATATTATTCCCCTACAGATAGAGATATATGGCTTTTATTCATCAGTAACTTGGAGAAACACTGTTCTGGCACCTCCAGCAATGAATGTTTGTCATGGTAAGGGGGGGTGTGGTGTGCCAGAGGGCCCATTGTTGCTGGGGGTTCTATTGTTGCTGAGGAGGCCTAATGCTGCTGATGGGGGGGGGGTCTGTTGTTGTTGTGGGGGAACTATTATTGCAGGAGGGGTCTATTGTTGCTGAAGGGATCTACAGTTGGTTTGGGGGGACCTATTTTACTGCTTTTCTTGTTATTAGCAAATTCCATACAAATTACTTAGCACCACAAAATGATCCTTGGTTCTGTATTCTCTAAAAGGGGTGGTACTGGGTGGTGGGTAGGGGGTGGAACCAAGAGACGGGACTCAGAGGTGGGTAGGGGGGCTGACAAGTGACTCCAAAACAGGGACGGACTATTTGGAAACTCGGGCAGTGCCCGAGGGCCCGGGGTCAGTAGGCGGCCCCATGAGATGCCTCTGGTACCTTTGTCATAGGCTTTTATGAGTCTGGGCAAGGACACAGGGGCCCCATGATCCCCTATTGCCTGGGGGCCCTATGAGTTGTCAGTTCACCCCTGCTCCGAAAAAGGATTAAAAAAACCCACAAATTTTTATATATATATATATATATATATATATATATATATATATATAAAATTTTTAAATTCCATAAAATCTATCTGAAAAAGCTCTGGTTAGGTTGGAGCTCTGTGTGTGCTGTATATCTGTAATTTAATGTGAAAAGTTGGACAATCTCTACCTAGAATACAATGAAGGTAAAAAAAAAAAAAAAAAATCACTGTCCGTAGTAATAGGAATGTGAGAATTCGGTGGCTGTTTTACATCTTCTCGAGACCTCTGTTCTACAAACTAAAGTTGTAATTTTTGGCTATTGAATTTAATAATTAATGTCACACTGTAATGTGAGGTGCCAATATGCTGTGTTTAAATAAATGAAGCCGACCTGAATGATTGTCTCTTCCTCTTTATTTGCACTTTGTATCCAAGGTTAACCCGCTATGATTTATGCCGATTTATGATTTAAGCCATTGAACATCCTGCTTATGAAAATGATGACAAGTGAAGATTGATGTTTACGAAGGCCTCATTCACATCATGGTGCAGAGATGTTTTCTGCATGAAAACAATTGTTCTCTTTGTCCCCTGTTCACACCACAATGCTGGTATCACATGGGGATTTTTTTCTGTGCAGGAATCTGCTATGTGTATAAAACTCATTGCGATGTGCATGAAAACCGATATAAACTGATATCCTTGCAAGTGAAATCTGCGTGTTTATTCCCATCAGTTTTTCTGCACGTATGGTGTGAATGAAGCTTCAGTCTTGCACAGGTGTATCGGCTCCCCCCCCCCCCGTCTTGCAGGGTGTACTGGCTCCCCCCCCCAGTCTTGCACAGGTGTACCGGCTCCTCCCCCCAGTCTTGCACAGGTGTACCGGCTCCTCCCCCCAGTCTTGCACAGGTGTACCGGCTCCTCCCCCCAGTCTTGCACAGGTGTACCGGCTCCTCCCCCCAGTCTTGCACAGGTGTACCGGCTCCTCCCCCCAGTCTTGCACAGGTGTACCGGCTCCTCCCCCCAGTCTTGCACAGGTGTACCGGCTCCTCCCCCCAGTCTTGCACAGGTGTACCGGCTCCTCCCCCCAGTCTTGCACAGGTGTACCGGCTCCTCCCCCCAGTCTTGCACAGGTGTACCGGCTCCTCCCCCCAGTCTTGCACAGCTGTACCAGCTCCTCCCCTCCAGTCTTCACAGGTGTACCTGCTCCTCCCCTCCAGTTTTGCACAGGTGTACCGGTTCTTCCCCTCCAGTCTTGCACAGGTGTACCGGCTCCTCCCCTCCAGTCTTGCACAGGTGTACCGGCTCCTCCCCTCCAGTCTTGCACAGGTGTACCGGCTCCTCCCCTCCAGTCTTGCACAGGTGTACCGGCTCCTCCCCTTCAGTCTTGCACAGGTGTACCGGCTCCTCCCCTCCAGTCTTGCACAGGTGTACCGGCTCCTCCCCTCCAGTCTTCCACAGGTGTACCGGCTCCTCCCCCCAGTCTTGCACAGGTGTACCGGCTCCTCCCCCCAGTCTTGCACAGCTGTACCAGCTCCTCCCCTCCAGTCTTCCACAGGTGTACCTGCTCCTCCCCTCCAGTTTTGCACAGGTGTACCGGCTCCTCCCCTTCAGGCTTGTACAGGTGTACCGGTTCTTCCCCTTCAGTCTTGCACAGGTGTACCGGCTCCTCCCCTTCAGTCTTGCACAGGTGTACCGGCTCCTCCCCTTCAGTCTTGCACAGGTGTACCGGCTCCTCCCCTTCAGTCTTGCACAGGTGTACCGGCTCCTCCCCTTCAGTCTTGCACAGGTGTACCGGCTCCTCCCCTTCAGTCTTGCACAGGTGTACCGGCTCCTCCCCTTCAGTCTTGCACAGGTGTACCGGCTCCTCCCCTCCAGGCTTGCACAGGTGTACCGGCTCCTCCCCTTCAGGCTTGCACAGGTGTACCGGCTCCTCCCCTTCAGGCTTGCACAGGTGTACCGGCTCCTCCCCTTCAGGCTTGCACAGGTGTACCTGCTCCTCCCCTTCAGGCTTGCACAGGTATCGGCTCCTCCCCTTCAGGCTTGCACAGGTATCTGCTCCTCCCCTCCAGGCTTGCACAGGTATCGGCTCCTCCCCTCCAGTCTTGCACAGGTGTACCGGCTCCTCCCCTCCAGGCTTGCACAGGGGTACCGGCTCCTCCCCTTCAGTCTTGCACAGGTGTACCGGCTCCTCCCCTCCAGGCTTGCACAGGTGTACCGGCTCCTCCCCTCCAAGCTTGCACAGGTGTACCGGCTCCTCCCCTCCAGTCTTGTACAGGTGTACCGGCTCCTCCCCTCCAGTCTTGCACAGGTGTACCGGCTCCTCTCCCCTCCAGGCTTGCACAGGTGTACCGGCTCCTCTCCTGGATTGAAATGGCTTACTCTGTTTTCACTGCACACTGTGAACTTCAGCAAGTCCGACAGAGCTCCGACTCATTTCCTGGCTGGAGGACGTCCAGCATCATCCAGGTCTTTCCTCCCCAGCCTGACTTTCATTAGATTTTTAGTTCTTTAAAGCATGGATGTCTGTTCCACACAGACATCCACCCATCAAGGCATTCTCACATTGTGCATTAGAAGTCAGAGCTCCGCCTCATTTCCTGGCTGGAAGACGTCCAGCATCATCTAGCACTTTTCTTCCCAGCCTGCCTGTCCCCTGACCCTCCCCTTTCATTGGGTTTCAGTTTTTTCAGTCATGAAGGCTCGGCGTCACAAAGCAGTTCTCCCTAGGAACACCCGCTCTGCTAGTCTGACATCAATTCCTGTGATACTTGGGGCGTGAGTGGGATGGAGGAATATTATCAGTTCGGTTTTAGGGCCGGTTCACACCATCGAAAAGCAGTTTCTGTATGCATGTTTTGATGCCTTCCAGTGCGTTTTTATGCGTTCCAGTTTATTCCCCTCTTTTTCTTCAATATAAATAAGGATGTTCCGGTGTGTTTTACTGCGTTCCAGTACGGTGCAGTGCAGAAAAAATGCAGCATGTTCTAGTTTTTTTCTAGAACTAGATTGCACTGGAACTGACTGCACTAGTGTGAACTATGCCATTGGAAACCATGTAACCTACTATCAATGCATTTTTCGTGCAGAAAATAAAAAACGCACTGGACTGCATGTGGTGTGAACTTGCTCTTAGAGAAATTTACACTATATTGCCCCAAGTATTGGGCCGCCGGCCTTTCCACGCACATGACCTTTAATGGCCCCCCAGTCTTAGTCCGTAGGGTTCAATACTGAGTTGGCCCTGCCCTTTGCAGCTATAACAGCTTCATCTCTTCTGGGAAGGCCGTCCACAAGGTTTAGGAGGGTGTCTATGGGAAGGTTGGACCATTCTTCCAGAAGCACATTTGTGAGGTCAGGCACTGATGTCGGGGGAGGAGGCCTGGCTCACAGTCTCCGCTCTAATTCATCCCAAAGGTGTTCTATGGGGTTGAGGTCAGGACTCTGTGCAGGACAGTCAAGTTCCTCCACCCCAAACTGGCTCCTCCATGTCTTTATGGACCTTGCTTTGTGTACTGGTGCGCAGTCATGTTGGAACAGGAAGGGGCCATACCCAAACTCTTCTCACAAAGTTGGGAGCATGAAATTGTCCAAAATGTCTTGGTATGCTGACGCCTTAAATGTTCCCTTCACTGGAACTAGGGGGCCAAGCCCAACCCCTGAAAAACAACCCCACACCATAATCCCCCCTCCACCAAACTTTACACTTGGCACAATGCAGTCAGGCAAGTACCGTTCTCCTGGGAACCGCCAAACCTAGACATGTTCGTCGGAGTGCCAGACAGAGAAGCATGATTGGTCACTCCGGAGAACACTGCTCCACGGCTCTAGAGTCCAGTGGCGGCATGCTTTACACCACGGCATCTGACGCTTTGCATTGCACTTGGTGATGTAAGGCTTGGATGCAGCTGCTCGGCCATGGAAACCCATTCCATGAAGCTCTCTACACACTGTTGTTGGGCTCATCTGAAGGCCACACCAAGTTTAGAGGTCTTTAGCTATTGACTCTGCAGAAAGTTGGCGACTTCTGCGCACTGTGCGCTTCAGCATGCACTGACCCCACCCTGTCATGTGACGTGGCCTACCACTTGGTGGCTGAGTTGCTGTTGTTCCCAGTTGCTTCCACTTTGTTATAATACCACTAACAGTTGAGCGTGGAATATTTAGTAGCCAGGAAATGTCACGGATGGACTTATTGCACAGGTGACCACCTATCACGGGACCACGCTTGGAGTCACTGAGCTCCTGAGAGCGACCCATTCTTTCACCAATGTTTGCAGAAGCAGTCTGCATGCCTAGGGGATGGATTGTATACACTTGTGGCCAAGGAGGTGATTGGAACACCTGAATCACATGATTTGGAGGGTGGGACAATACTTTTGGCAATATGGTGTAGTTTAAGGAAGTGGTGCAACATTCACACTGATACACTGCTCAAAAAAAATGAAAGGAAGACTTTTTAATCAGTCTAGCATCAAGTCATTAAACTCCTGAGCTATTGATCTGGTCAGGTAAGTAGCAGAGGGGATTGTTAATCAGTTTTAGCTGCTTTGGTGTTAATGAAATTACCAACCGGTGCACTAGATGGGCAACAATGAGACGACCCCCAAAACGGGAATGGTTTTACAGGTGGAGGCCACTGACATTTTTTCCCTACTCATCTTTTCTGGTTTTCTCTAGTTTTGCATTTGGCTAGGGTCGGTGTCACTACTGGCAGCATGAGGCCATACCTGGACCCTACAGAGGTTGCACAGGCAGTTCAACTCCTCCAGGATGGCACATCAATACGTGCCATTGCCAGAAGGTTTGCTGTGTCTCCCAGCACAGTCTCAAGAGCATGGAGGAGATTCCAGGAGACAGGCAGTTACTCTAACAGAGCTGGACAGGGCCATAGAAGGTCCTTAACCCATCAGCAGGACCGGTATCTGCTCCTTTGTGCAAGGAGGAACAGGATGAGCACTGCCAGAGCCCTACAAAATGACCTCCAGCAGGCCACTGGTGTGAATGTCTCTGACCAAACAATCAGAAACAGACTTCATGAGGGTGGCCTGAGGGCCCAACGTCCTCTAGTGGGCCCTGTGCTCACTGCCTGGCACCACAGAGCTGGATTGGCATTTTCCATTGAACACCAGAATTGGCAGGTCCACCACTGGTGCCCTGTGCTTTTCACAGATGAGAGCAGGTTCCCCCTGAGCACATGTGACAGATGTGAAAGGCTCTGGAGAAGCCGTGGAGAACGTTCTGCTGCCTGTAACATCATTCAGAATTACCTATTTGGTGGTGGGTCAGTGATGGTCTGGGGAGGCATATCCATGGAGGGATGCACAGACCTCTACAGGCTAGACAATGGCACCCTGACTACCATTAGGTATCGGGATGAAATCCTTGGACCCACTGTCAGACCCTATGCTGGTGCAGGGGGTCCTGGGTTCCTCCTGGTGCACGACAATGCCCGGCCTCATGTGGAGAGAGTATGCAGACAGTTCCTGGAAGATGAAGTAATTGATTATTATTATTATACAGGACTTATATAGCACCGGCAGTTTGCTCAGCGCTTTACATTATACCATTGAATGGCCCCCACGCTCGCCTAACCTAAATCCAATAGAACACCTCTGGGATGTCATGTTTCGGTCCATCCGCCGCCGCCAGGTTGCACCTCAGGCTGTCCAGGAGCTCAGTGATGCCCTGGTCCAGATCTGGGAGGAAATCCCCCAGGACACCATCTGTGGTCTCATTAGGAGCCTCCCCCGGTGTTGTCAGGCATGCATACAAGCACATGGGGGCCATACAGACTACTGAGGACCATTCTGAGTTGCTGCAATGAGATTTCACCAAAATGGACTCGCCTGCTGCATCATTTTTTCACTTTGATTTTCTGGGTGTCTTTGAATTCAGTCCTCTGTAGGTCGATCATTTTCATTTCCATCAAACGATGGGGCATCCTTATGTTCCTAGCACATCACCCGTCCATGTCAGTGTAGAGATTCAGCAGGAGATTCTTCCTCATTGAGATGATGGGTTTTCAAAGTGTTCCTTTCATGTTTTTGAGCAGTGTATGTTAGTAATGTGAAAGGAGACTGAGGGTCAGTTCACACCATAGAAACGCAGCATGGAGTTTTCAATGCATTCCAGTGCATATTTAATGCTTACAGATGCTTTTTTTTCTCAGTCCTTTTTTTTGGTCATTTGGAGTGCAGTATGTTTTTGTGCGTTTCACCACATTCCAGTACAGTTCTATGTAGGAAACAAATGCAGCCTGTTCTACTTTTTTTTTTTATTTCTGCAACCGGAACGCACTGGAACCTCCAGCACTGGTGTGAACCACGCCATTGACAACCATGTAACCTACTTTCTGTGCGTTTTGGATGCAGAAAAACAAACTCCCTGAAATGCATGTGCTGTGAACCAGCCCTAAAGGAGTGAGGGGAGGAGTAGAGAAATAGATTTGGGTGTCATCGGCATAGAGATGGTATTGGAAGCCATGGAAGGTTGTCAAGTGACCAGTTATAATAGGCTGCTGCATAATGCAAATGATGATAAAAAAATGCAATGCAGCCCATGCAAAAATGCACTGCAGCTCACCTCACCAGTGGATGCAACACTTAGTGCTGATGGGGGAGGAATCTGCCACTTCCGGGGCAAACAATCCGCATCAGGAGCGGCTTCTAAATAGCACCTTGCAGTACACATTTCTGGCCACAAGATGGCGCTGGTGTATAGGAAATGCGTCTAAATAGATCATTGCAGTACACATTTCTGGCCACAAGATGCCGCTGGGTACAGGAGCTGCGTCTAAATAGCACCTTGCAGTACACATTTCTGGCCACAAGATGCCGCTGGTGTATAGGAGCTGCGTCTAAATAAAACCTTGCAGTACACATTTTTGGCCACATGATGCCGCTGGTGTATAGGAGCTGCGTCTAAACAGAACCTTGCAGTACACATTTTTGGCCACAATATGCCGCTGGTGTACAGGAGCTGCGTCTAAATAGCACCTTGCAGTACACATTTCTGGCCACAAGATGCCGCTGGTGTACAGGAGCTGCGTCTAAATAGAACTTTGCAGTACATATTTCTGGTCACAAGATGCCGCTGGTGTATAGGAGCTCTGCACGGAAGACACATCCGCGGGCTAAGGTTGCTATGGTTACCGTCTGTTGCCTCGGAAGAGACGCGGCCCGGATTGCGCTCCGTCCTCCGCTCCCGGGATCCGTGTGACTGCAGAGCGACTCGAGAACTCAGGTACGAAGAAGCGTACAGCTAGTTACAGGATTACACGTGACGCCGCCGTATTGTCAATGTAAAAGGCTTTTCGGTTGTATATTTTTGCTGACACCGATCTATCATACCTCTGTGGATTCCGTGTCAGCATTGTCTGCAACCTTTCCTTAGGATCCTATATGGCGTCCGCCATTTTCCTGGAGACCATAACCATAGATGTCCATAGGAATGGGCTCTGACAAAATGGCTCCTATATGGAGACATCCATGCTATAGCTTGTATGAGCTTATTCGTTGTTTTTTTTGTTGTTGTGTTTTTGTTTTTTATTAGGAGGGGGCTGTTGAATCAATTTTAGGTGTTCTAGGAACTCCAAAAATGAAGATCTCTGAATATAAAACAGGCGCGTTGTACCCGGAGTGTCTGACAGTTATATTTATAACACCGTCTGTGGCGTTGGATACTATGATTTTTCAGTCATAATAATTAAAATTAAACAATTTGTAATACTTGCTAAAAAAAAAAAAAAAAACAAAGTATAAATTGTAGGGGCTCCTTACATTGGTGGTCAGAGGAGACGGGCCCCCTGACATTAACTCCTTTACGCCCCAGTAACCCATATCTGTTGCGGCAAAAAGCTGGGTGTTAACGCTTACACACCACACATGTGTGTCACTGGGCGGGCAATGTGCAGGGAGCGCGCTCACTGCGAAAGCTGCCAGAAAGGGCTGGAAATCCTGAGCAAACATCAGTAGCCAACAGGATCGGCTCCCGATCATGTGACCACTGTGACGGCCAATCAGATGATTGCCAATCCTTCCCAATTATTCTTTATTAAATATTCTTGCAATCATCGCTGATCCTTCCCAGAGTGTTAAGAACCTTTAGGACGATGCCAGGAATGGGCAGGAACGGGTTAATGGTCTGTGGTGAAGGACCCACTTTTATTGATGGTCATTGGAAAAGGGACCTCCTTACAATGGTGGTCATTAGAGAAGGGCCCTCTTTTATTAGTGGTAAGTGGTGAAGGACCCCCTGGCATCGTTGGTCAGTGCAGCAAGTCCCCCTTACATTGGTGGAGGCTGAGTGGTGGAGTTCTCTGACCACTGTATGCTGTCTGTGACTCTGAATGCCTCGGGCACTCCACCCAGGGGAAGGGGTGTCTGGAAACTGAAATCTGCTCTCTTGGAAGATGTAGAGGTAAGACAATCCTTTGAGGATTTTTTTCAGGCACAGGTTTCTATTCTGGACATTTGCAGCAGTAAGTCAGAGTGGTGGGAGCTTGTGAAACAAAGGGCGATCGGACTTTTCAAGGCCATAAGTAAGAAGAAGCAGCTTGGTATGTATATTGCCTACCAGCATTTGCGGAGGAAACTTGATCGTCTTGTCTCGTATGGAGGAGATCTCTGAAGTGATGCTTCTTCTTAGGAAGTGTCAATACGACTAGCATGCCTCCTTGGTTCTGGAGAGCGATTATGGGAAATATTACTCGCCTGATCCTTACCAGAACTGTAAGCAAGGCATAGCAGTTAAGACGGCCATTGGCCTGAAAGACAGTATGGGTTCCCTGGTGTCCAGATCATGGATCTTGGAGATCTTTGGGTCATTTTATGCAGACCTCCTGGGATGAAAGGACCTTAGCCGGGACAGGATGGAAAGCTTTCTAGATTCTACTTCAGGATTGGGAAATGGTACATTGCTTTTTATGAATTTGACAGAACCAAATTCAGCGGATGAGACAGGGCCGGATCGAGCCTGTCTGATGTGGGGGTGCAGTAAAAAAATGGTGGGGGGCAGAGGATAAAGTCATAAGTTTATAGGGCAGTGTACAGAGACCATTAGCTTGTAAGGCAGTGTGCAGGGGTCTGCAGGGCAGATAGGGGTCAGTAGAGCTGAAGAAGGGTTCAGTATAGTTTAGTGGCAGGTTAGTGTGGGTGGTAAAGTGGCAGTATAATTGCAGGTTAGTGCAGTATAATGGAAGGTTAGGGCAGTACAGTGACAGGTTAGAGCAGTATAGTGACAGGTTAGGGCAGTAAAGAGGCCGGTTAGGGCAGTATAGTGGCAGGTTTGGGCAGTATAGTGGCCGGTTAGGGCAGTACAGTGGCAGGTTAGGGGTAGTATAGTGGCCAGTTAGTGCAGTATAGTGACAGGTTAGGGTCGTACAGTGGCAGGTTAGGGCAGTACAGTGACAGGTTAGGGCAGTACAGTAGTCGGTTAGGGCAGTACAGTGGCAGGTTAGGGTAGTATAGTGGCCAGTTAGTGCAGTATAGTGACAGGTTAGGGTAGTACAGTGGCCAGTTAGGGCAATACAGTGTCAGGTTAGGGCAGTACAGTGGCAGGTTAGGGCAGTATAGTGACAGGTTAGGGTAGTATGGTGGCAGGTTAGGGTAGTATAGTGACAGGTTAGGGCAGTATAGTGGCAGGTTAGGGCGGTATAGTGGCAGGTTAGGGCGGTATAGTGGAAGGTTAGGGCAGTACAGTGGCAGGTTAGGGCAGTATAGTGGAAGGTTAGGGCAGTACAGTGGCAGGTTAGGGCAGTATAGTGGAAGGTTGGGGTAGTATAATGATAGGTTAGGGCAGTATAGTGACAGGTTAGGGCAGTATAGTGACAGGTTAGTGTAGTATAGTGGCAGGTTTGGGTAGTATAGTGGCAGGTTTGGGCAGTATAGTGGCAGGTTAGGGTAGTATAGTGGCAGGTTAGGGTGGCAGTATAGTGGTTAGTTAGGCAGTATAGTGGTAGGTTAGGGTAGTATAGTGGCAGGTTTGGGCAGTTAGTGGCAGGGGTAGTATAGTGGCAGGTTAGGGTAGTATAGTGGCAGGTTAGGGCAGTATAGTGGCAGGTTAGGGCAGTATAGTGGCAGGTTAGTGTAGTAGAGTGGTAGTCAGTGGAGAAGGACCCCTTAGGGTGTAGGGCCTCCTTGTATTGGTAGTCAGTGGTAATGGTTGGCCCCACTACAGAAAGCTAATAAGATAATAGCAATCATTAGTTACTTACCTTAAAGATTAGAGGAGAGGCCCCACTGATCCCACACCACCAAGTGAAGCCAGCCCTGGAACTTTGTAGGATCCCTCATGTTGGAGCTCATTCTGCCACTGGTCAAGGAACCCCCTAATAACCTCTGGGGGAATCCTGGTTGAGAAAGTTTTATGGAGCCCTTTACAAGCACTTCTCATGTTTTTCAGGTGATCTAAGTTCACCACCTTTACTGACAATAATCACTAAGATGAACGGAGGGTGGATCTCCCGAAGGATAACGCAGACAATAAAAACCTGAGAAAAGTTCTAAGCCTTCCACACTCTACCCAAAACTTAAAAAATTTGTTTTGGGTTTAGCCACAAATAAAATGTTGCACCACTGCAACGTTAACTGGATGCCACTGATTGGTTTCAGTTGTCTGGAATTGCTCCTTAATCTGCGGATATTTGACTTTTCAACGGAGACTTAGAGATATGGAGTCTAACAAATGTAGATTTACAGGCCCAGCACAAAAGTGATCCTGAATGTTCATTGTAATTGTTGGCAGGTAATGGGTGACTGTTTGGTTTTTAGGCTCACCGTGAACATGGAAACAACTTTTCCAAAAATAGTGGAGACTCGGGAACCTTTGAAGGACCTGAGAGCCAGTGCTGAGGCTCTGGAGTTTTTTTCCAGAATAGGTGAGTCTTCAGCCCATATTGTGGACAGTAGTGTTTTATGTCAGACCAATCACAACCTTATGTGCAGTTTGGGATAGAATAAGAAAGGGCTAGAAACTCTTGTCAGGCTTTTATGGAGGTTTGTGTTCCTTAATGGGGACACAGACAAGCTCACTTGACAGGTTTTCATAAAAGTCCTCTATCCTACTGATACTCACCTCTGCCATACACAGGTTTTTTTTTCTCAGGGAATAGGTGCAGGAACTCCCCCCTTCTGAGTTGCTCTTTGTCTCCGCCCTCTACCCACCTCTGAGTACTGTCCCTTGGTTCCACCCCCTACCCACCTCTAAACACTGTCCCTTTGTTCCTGCCCCTACCCACCACTGATCACCGTCGCTAGGCTCCACCCCTACCCACCTCCGAGCACCGTCCCTTGGTTCAATCCCCTATCCACCTCTAAGCACTGTCCCTCGGTTCCACCCCCTACCCACCGCTGAGCACCGTTCCATGGTCCCACCTCTGGGCACCGTCCCTTGGTTCCTCCCCCTACCCACCTCTGGGCACCGTCCCTTGGTTCCACCCCCTACCCACCTCTGGGCACCGTCCCTTGGTTCCACCCCCTACCCACCTCCGAGCACCATCCCTTAGTTCCACCCCCTACCCACCTCCGAGCACTGTCCCTTGGTGCCACCCGCTACCTACCTCCGAGCACCGTCCCTTGGTTCAATCCCCTACCCACCTCTAAGCACTGTCCCTTGGTTCCACCCCCTACCCACCGCTGAGCACCGTTCCTTGGTTCCACCCCCTACCCACCGCTGAGCACCGTTCCTTGGTTCCACCCCCTACCCACCGCTGAGCACCGTTCCTTGGTTCCACCTCCTACCCACCTCTGGGCACCGTCCCTTGGTTCCACCCCCTACCCACCTTGGGCACCGTCCCTTGGTTCCACCCCCTACCCACCTCTGAGCACCATCCCTTAGTTCCACCCCCTACCCACCTCCGAGCACTGTCCCTTGGTGCCACCCGCTACCTACCTCTGAGCACCGTCCCTTGGTTCTACCTCCTACCCACCTCTGGGCACTGTCCCTTGGTTCCACTCGCTACCCACCTCTGAGCACCATCCCTTGGTTCCACCCCTACCCACCTCTGGGCACTGTCCCTTGGTTCCACCCCCTACCCCCTCCCAGCACTACCCTTTTTAAAGAATACAGCATCAGGTATAATTTTGTGCCACTAAGTAGTTTGTATGGAATTTGCTAATGATAACAAGAAAGACAGTAAAATAGATCCCCTACAGTGAGCAAGAATAGACCCCCCCACAACAGTAGACACCCCCCAGTAACAATAGACCCTCCATAGACAATAGACTACACCCCCCCACAACAAAATATCACCCAGCAACAATAGACCCCCCATCAGCAACAACAGATCTTCCAACAGCCAGCAACAATAGACCTGTCCCTCAACAGTAGATCCATCCCAGCAAGAAATGACACCCCCCATCAACAATAGACCTACCCACAACAATAGAAACCCATGCAAAAATAGATCCTCCAGCAGCCAGCATCAATGGACTCTCCAGCACACCCCAGCATCCCTTGTGATTGCACACATTCGGTGTTGCGTTCTCCCACGCTCTCGATAAAAAAAAATAGCCTTGGTCATACACCCCTGGCATTCTATTTATCAGGTAAGGGGGAGCATTTGACCTCACCCCCAACCCTCCCTTCCAGGATGTCGTGCAAGGACCTGAGCAGCCAACAGCCTCGGCCGACACTGTCACAGGGGAAGGAAAGCAGCCCTGTGTAGGCTCTGACACTTACATGGGGATTAGACCCAGACAGAGGAACAAAGCAGTGGAGGACTCCAATATAGTAATCAATGGCTGGAGCTGGAGGGGGGGGGGGGGGGTTCAAGAGAACCTGTCATATTACCTTTATAATTATAGTATTTTCTTTTTGTCTTGTCTGTCACTTTGAGCACCCTGTCCATTCTCTCCTTCCAGAGCCCAGTGATCTGGATCTCTGTCTCTTTCCGGAGTCTTTACAGACAGTATCAGATTCAGGAACGGAGGTCGGAGATTTCACTGTCAGTGTCCAACCTGCCTATTATGAACAGGATGGAGAAGAAGAGCAAAAATGTTTCCTGGTTCATGCCAGCAGTCACGGCACCATTGACGGTGTACCGTGCGGAACCTCCATAGTCGGTCAGTATATCTATCTATCTCTGAATGCAGCGCTGGTCATGTGACTCTGGGCAAGTTATAAGTACGACTTAACCCCCCTGGCGGTATTCCCGAGTGTAGCTCGCGGTAAAGTTTCAGTACCACAAGCGGTAACCCCGAGCCACACTCGGGCTTACCATGCGGTGCTGCTCTCGGGATCTCTTCTTTTCTTACCTTGTCCTGTGCTCCCGCGATGTCCTCCTGCAGTGTCCCCTGTAATGTCCTCCGGCCGATGCTGGCATCTGTCTTCTGGGTTCAGTTCCCTGCGACGTCGGGATGTACGGGGGACGGAACGGCGGCAAATTTGAAAATGACAAAAAGTGACATTCAATAAATTCACTAAAATCTGATAGTATTCCATTACTGTATCAAACCATTTCACATACATTTTGTCCCGAGTGCTTTGTCCTGCGCCCTGCCTGCATTTTTACTGTTCTTTCTGCCTGGAAACTGAGAAACGTCCATGGCGTCCAAAAAGCGTCCCTTTAGGTCAAAAGCAGTTTTAGACCGGCTAGAGAACAGCGATAGTAAATCAGAACCACTTGCAGAATTGAGTGATAATGATTCGTGGGGGAAATTCCTCATCAGACACTGAAAACGATTTTGCGACTTTGCTCAGCAATGTGCGAACTTGGCGCTCTATTTCACATTTCAGTGTTTTTGGTTTGATTATATTATTGAATTAAATTTATTATTATTATATTATTTATTATTATGATTATTTATTAAATTATAATTTATGATTTTGTGTTTAAAATTTTATCATACCCGGGATGTTTACTAGACTCTTGTTCGGACAGATTTCAGTGAGTTATTCCTAAAAATTACAGGCCTACAATAAAAAAAATACCTATTTCCATGCAAAAAAATGTAGCGCTTTGAGCACAGAAATATGGACATAATCAGACCGCTAGGGAGGTTAATATTGAGTGTGCTGTTCAGAGGTGGGTTGCTGGTCAACAATGGATCTCTTCAAACCAAATATGCATGCAGAGATATTTAATTTTTCCAAACATCAATTGGATGTTTTCTAAGAGAATATAAGATAAACGGGTTACAGCTGAAAATAATACATAGTCCTCATACACACGGGATGTTTTTACAGCGGCTGTTTTTTGGCTTTAGGCATTTTTTTTTCTACAGCCAGTAAACTCCCCAGCATGTTCTCCTATGTGTCCATCCCCGGCATGTTATCCTATGTGTCCATCCCCGGCGTGTTCTCCTATGTGTCCATCCCCAGCATGTTATCCTATGTGTCCATCCCCGGCGTGTTATCCTATGTGTCCATCCCCGGCGTGTTATCCCCCGGCATGTTATCCTATGTGTCCATCCCCGGCGTGTTATCCTATGTGTCCCCCGGCATGTTATCCTATGCGTCCATCCCCGGCATGTTCTCCTATGTGTCCATCCCCAACATGTTCTCCTATGTGTCCATCCCCGGCGTGTTATCCTATGTGTCCATCCCCGGCGTGTTATCCTATGTGTCCATCCCCGGCGTGTTATCCTATGTGTCCACTCCCAGCATACACAGCGTGTTATCCTATGTGTCCATTCCCCAGCATGTTATCCTATGTGTCCATCCCTGGCATGTTATCCTATGTGTCCATCCCCAGCATGTTATCCTATGTGTCCATCCCCAGCATGTTCTCCTATGTGTCCATCCCGGCATGTTATCCTATGTGTCCATCCCCGGCGTGTTATCCTATGTGTCCATCCCCGGCGTGTTATCCTATGTGTCCATCCCCGGCGTGTCCATCCCCGGCGTGTTATCCTATGTGTGTCAATCCCCAGCATGTTCTCCTATGTGTCCATACACGGCGTGTTTATCCTATGTGTCCATCCCCGGCGTGTTATTCTATGTGTCCATCCCCGGCGTGTTATCCTATGTGTCCATCCCCGGCGTGTTATCCTATGTGTCCATCCCCGGCGTGTTATCCTATGTGTCCATCCCTGGCATGTTATCCTATGTGTCCATCCCCGGCGTGTTATCCTATGTGTCCATCCCCGGCGTGTTATCCTATGTGTCCATCCCCGGCGTGTTATCCTATGTGTCCATCCCCGGCGTGTTATCCTATGTGTCCATCCCCCGGCGTGTTATCCTATGTGTCCATCCCCGGCGTGTTATCCTATGTGTTATCCCCGGCATGTTATCCTATGTGTCCATCCCCAGCGTGTTATCCTATGTGTCCATCCCCAGCGTGTTATCCTATGTGTCCATCCCCAGCGTGTTATCCATGTTCCATCCCCGGCGTGTTTATTCTATGTGTCCATCCCCAGCATGTTATCCTATGTGTCCATCCCCCATGTTATCCTAGCATGTTATCCTATGTGTCCATCCCCAGCATGTTATCCTATGTGCAGGAGCAGGATGCCAGCACAATGACTGCTGCCCCCCCGCCCTGGTGTAGCAGTAAAGTGAGTATCCCCGAAGCAACTGCGCATGTGCCGGTTTCAGGACGAAGAAGCCGATCGCTGGCTCTGTGCTAAAGTCGGAGATCGGCTTCTTCGGCCTGAATCCGGAATATGCGCAGTTGCTTCAAGGGATACATATCTTCAAGGGATACTTATTTTACCGCTACACCGGCACCTCTCTGGAGGGGTGACACCACGTGTTACCGCATCGGGTGACACCAACCCTAGGGAAGCTTCTGAAATGCAGCATACCAGTGTTTTTGGAAGTTGTTTTTTTTTTTTTTCAGCAAAAAAATAACTATTTTTTTTGTTAAAAAATGCAAATGCAGCTAAACGCTAATGCCAAACCGCTAAAAAAAACACTGACGAACTCGTGTTTTTAACATGATTTTAGACAGCTAACGCTACCAGAGTTATTAGAATGCCCTGTGTGCATAGAGCTATATTATAAAAAATTGATCCAGAGATTTTTCTCCAACTGCCACTAGGGGTCAGAATGGATTTGTTTTCTGGATAAATGAAAGTCAGGTAAGCTTCGCTGTACTTCTGCGGTAAAGCAAGGTGTACTCTACATTGTAAATGTATTTATTAAGGTGGACCTGCAGTGAATGTTAACTAAACATTACATAAAATACATATCTAAAAGCAGTATTAACCACTCGCCCTCCTGAGGATTGCCCCCCCCCCCCCCCGACCAGGCCATTTTTTGCGTTATGGCACTTCGTTACTTTAACTGACAATTGCACGGTCATGCAACGCTGCACCCAAATTAAATTTACGTCCTTTTTTTTCCCCACAAATAGAGCTTTCTTTTGGTGGTATTTGATCTCCTGTACGGTTTTTTATTTTTTTGTTCTATAAAAAAAAAAGTCCGACAGTTTTGAGAAAAAAACTATATTTTTGACTTTTTGCTAGTAAAACATGTCCAGTAAGAGAATTTTAAAAGTCAAATTTCATCATACATTTAGGCCAAAATGTATTCTGCTCCATGTCTTTGCAAAAAAAATATCCCAATACATGGAAATTATTTGTTTTTTGTGAAAGTTATAGCGTTTACAAATGGCGGTATATATACTGGGATTTATTTATTTTTTTCATTTATACTAGTAATGGCGGTGACTTGGTGTCATTGACATCACTAGTGACACCAATATAGTGATCAGTGCTAAAAAAAAAAGCACTGACACTGTACTAATGGCACTGGGCAGGAAGGGGTTAACATGAGGGGCAATCAAAGGGTTAACTGTATGCTGGGAGTGTTTTACTAGGGGGCAGGGGTTGTGTTCTTTACTGTAACCACACTGCTCTGGATGGCTGTGCTGTTCAATGTGCCCAAGCTGACAGGGAGGAGAACTGTTAGTAAAAAAAAAACAGTCCTCCTCCCCGTCGGTGATCATCGGATCATCGAGTAATTACCGGCCAGGGCCTGGTGATTGACAGCCACGGCTGTGAATGGCGGTGTAGGTAGGGCGCATGTGCAGCTATATGTACGTGGTTTTGCGCACCTGTGCAGCCCTGTAGTAGTATTTCTGCTATAGGGCAGCCGGGAAGCGGTTAAACCCATAACCAAAAATGTAATATATTGCAGCTTACCAGTCATTAGATGTGGTTACTGCATTAGTTTTCTTCTATTTTCACCTGGTGATCTGGCCAGTAACACAATTCCTGTATTAAAGCGCCTCCACTCTGGATGACGAAGACAGCAGCATTGTCAGCCTGGAGGGAGGGGAGTGTTAGATGGACTAGCAGATGTAAATACACTAACAAATTGAAGCCAAACTCCAGCTCACACTTTATAGGCAGTTACAGCAAATATTTTTTTTTCCTCTTTGGATAAAGGTTTTACTTAAATAAATAAAACCTGATTATTGTAAGCACCCCTGTCAGCGGTAAATGGTTTTACTTACCTTTCTAACTGCTTCATCTGCAGGAGAGCTTGAGCTGTTGAAAAACAACAAACTTACTGGCAGGATCACCAGGTGAAAAAAAAAAAAGGAAAGCAAGTCTAAAAAAGAATACTAATGCAGCCACCACATCTAAGAATTGGTAGGCTGCAATATAATAAATGTTTGCTTTTGGGTTTAAAGTGTTACTAAACCCCGGACCCTGCATTCACTATATCCGCTCTCCCCGGACCCTGCATTCACTATATCTGCTCTCTCCCCGGACCCTGCATTCACTATATCTGCTCTCCCCGGACCCTGCATTCACTATATCTGCTCTCCCCGGACCCTGCATTCACTATATCCGCTCTCCCCGGACCCTGCATTCACTATATCTGCTCTCCCCGGACCCTGCATTCACTATATCTGCTCTCCCCGGACCCTGCATTCACTATATCCGGTCTCCCCGGACCCTGCATTCACTATATCCGGTCTCCCCGGACCCTGCATTCATTTATATCCACTCTCCCCGGACCCTGCATTCACTATATACGCTCTCCCAGACCCTGCATTCAGTATATCTGCTGCCCCCAGACCCTGCATTCACTATATCCGCTCTCCCCGAACCCTGCATTCACTATATACGCTCTCCCCAGACCCTGCATTCACTATATCCGGTCTCCTCGGACCGTGCATTCACTATATCCGGTCTCCTCGGACCCTGCATTCACTATATCCGCTCTACCTGGACCCTGCATTCACTTATCCACTCTCCCCGTACCCTGCATTCACTATATCTAGTCTCCCCGGACCCTGCATTCACTATATCCGCTCTCCCCAGACCCTCCATTCACTATATCTGGTCTCCTCGGACCCTGCATTCACTATATCCGGTCTCCCCAGACCCTGCATTCACTATATCCGCTTTCCCCGGACCCTGCATTCACTATATACGCTCCCCGGACCCTGCATTCACTTATCCACTCTCCCCCGGACCCTGCATTCACTATATCTAGTCTCCCCGGACCCTGCATTCACTATATCCGCTCTCCCCAGACCCTGCATTCACTATATCCGCTCTCCCCAGACCCTGCATTCACTATATCTGCTCTCCCCGGACCCCGCATTCACTATATCTGGTCTCCCCGGAACCAGCATTCACTATATCCAGTCTCCCACAGTACACAGAACATGGAAATGCAATTATTTTAGTAAATATAAACTGCTAAATACCTTTTCTCATCAGCAGTATATAGCAGTTTTGTGACTTCTATCAGTGTTCAGCAGAACACTGGTTAAATCATGTAGGAGGCATTTTCTTTCTGCTCTAGGAGGATGCAGAAACCCCTGACCTCTGTCTGGACAGTACTGATTGGCCCTGTGTTGATCACGTGCACTCTCTCAAGAAAACAAAAACATCTCTAGCAATACACACCAAACTGAGTATGTGCAGAGTGACTCCAAACGATATGTCTTATCAGGAGATAAGGGGGACACTGAAAGAAGGAGAGGATCAGAGGAGACAGGATCAAACAGACTTTTTACACAGTGCAGAGGATTAACCCTTTAGGTTCCACAGTGAGTATAACAAACATACTTTACTGCATATACAGACTGATTTCACTGTTGTGGGTATAGTAACGCTTTAATACTGCTCTAAGTGTATAAACAAGGCATAAAATATATATATTAATGGCAGAATACCCCAACGTCCTTTCCATGGCAGAGCTCATGTGCCAGGCCCAGCAGTAGAACATAATGGTGATCCCAGGTACATAAGCCAAACTAGAGACAATGGCAGTTGTCATTCTTCATGGCACATCCAGAATGGCTTCAGGGGACTTCACACACAGCACAGAGGTCCTTAGACTTCCACTATGGACTTAAAGTATAACTAAAGGCAAAACTTTATTATTAAGTTTTGAATAGAGTGGAGATGGATTAGAACCCCTGTGAGCCTTTATTTCTATCTGTGTCCCCATTAGGGAGATTCATCCTCTCTGTTTATCCTGTGTATTATTATCATTGAAAGTCCAAGTAAAAGAAAATCCTAAATTTTAGGTTGTCCCCAGGAAAGTAATAGAGGGGAAATCTTCTAATGGGGACACTAGTTTTGGTGACCTTTGGGGTCCCCAAGCAATTCCCTTAATTTTCAGGGATTTCCTCTCACTTCCTGTTTTGGCTATGGGACAGGAAGTGAAGGGAAATCTCCACAATGGGACACTGATGGCAAAAAAAAAAAAAAAAAACTGACGGGTTATATCCCTCCCTTACTCTATTCAATATGAAAATAACAAAATTGCCTGTAGTTCTACCTTAATGTTTCTGCCTCCACTCACAAAGGACAGTTGGCTGGTTTGTTTTATGGAAAAGTCAACAGGGTAAGGTGACACCATCATTCGCTTGTGATGCTGATCTAATGTCCGTCTATAACATATCCAGCGTGCGTGCTGCTTGTTGGCTGCTGTGGTGCGAATTTTTGGTTGACTGGTTTTGGTTTGTTGCAGCTTATGTTACACCGAAGCTGGAAACCCTAGAACAGCATCTTCATGAGTATGTCAAGGTAAGGCCTGATTCTTTCACCCAGTGATTACAGGATCTTAGGCCCCTTTCACACATTTTTCAGGGGCATTGCAATGCATTGCCACATGTGTGTTCAGGTATATGCTTTGCCGTAAATCTGACCTCCAGTCTTGCACAGTTACATCAGCTTATCTCCTGTACTCAGGGCCTGTGGATAAAGGGGTATCCTTCTGTACGGGGCCCAGGCAGCTGGGGTGATCGGCACAGCGGGCAATTGCTGGAACAGATCCCCTGTATGGCTCTCCCTGCAGCAGCTGAAAGCCGGCTTCTTATACTCTCCTGCTGGTCTTTGGCTGCTGCAGAGAGAGCCACCTGATCAACACCCTCTCCACCTGCCCTCGCTGACTCTTCTCCACCTTCAACTCCCTGCTCTCTCCCCCCCCTCCTCCACTCAGTACCTCACTTACCGCCCACGAGATTGCCACTCATCTCCACAACAAGATTGACGCAATCCGCAAGGACATAATCAACTTGCAATCTACCTCCCTATCTAGCCTCCCCCCTTCCATCACCCCCTCATCTCTCCCCTCCTCTGACCTCGCAACGGCACTGCCCCCCACCACACCCAAGGCCCTGCCTACCGTAACCCCCCCATCACTGCACTCCTTCAGCCCTACTACCACTGAGGAAATCACCAGAGTCTTCTCAGAAGCCCGCCTCACTACCTGCCCCCTGGACCCTATCCCCTCTCAACTCCTCCGGTCACCCCCCTCTTCCCTCATCCGCTCCCTTACCCACATCTTCAATCTCTCCCTCTCTACTGGCGTCTTCCCCTCCCCCCTAAAACATGCGCACATCACCCCCATACTCAAAAAGCCCTCCCTGGACCCCACTGACCTCAACAACCTCAGACCAATTTCCCTGCTGCCACTCACTTCCAAGCTCCTTGAGCGCTTGGTCTACGATCGCCTAAGCGCCCACCTAACTGACAGCAACCTCCTTGACCCACTACAGTCCGGCTTCCGTCCCCTACACTCCACCGAAACTGCCCTCCTCAAAATCACCAACGATCTACTAACCGCCAAAGCCAAAGGCGACTACTCTGTCCTCCTTCTCCTTGACCTCTCCGCGGCCTTTGACACAGTCGACCACCCCCTCCTCCTTAATAAACTACTCTCCCTTGGCATCAGAGACACCTCTCTCCTGGTTCTCGTCCTGTCTATCCCAACGCTCCTTCAGCGTTTCCTACAACGGTGCCACCTTCTCTTCCCTCCCCCTCTCTGTTGGGGTCCCCCAGGGCTCTGTCCTTGGACCCCTTCTCTTCTCCATCTACACCTCCTCCCTTGGCAAACTCATACACTCCCATGGCTTCAACTACCACCTCTACGCTGATGATACTCAAATCTACCTATCCACCCCTCACCTCACCCCCACATTCTCCGCCCGCATCACTCACCTCCTAAACGACATCTCTGACTGGATGTCGCTCCATTTCCTCAAGCTCAACCTCTCCAAAACCGAGCTTCTCGTCTTTCCCCCTTCCCGCGCCCCCCGCCCATCCTTTCCATCACTACCAACAACACCACCATCAATCCCGCCCAGCAAGCCAAGGTCCTTGGCGTCATTCTGGACTCAAACCTTTCCTTTCAACCTCATGTCAAATCACTTACAAACACATGCAGGCTCCACCTCCGGAACATCGCCAAGATACGCTCCTTCCTTACCCCAGACACCACTAAACTACTCGTACACTCCCTGATTATCTCACGCCTTGACTACTGCAACTCCCTCCTCACCGGCCTACCCCAATGCAAACTCTCCCGCTTCAGACCATCCTGAACTCAGCTGCCTGACTCATCCACCTCACCAGCCGCGCCACCTCTGCCACCCCCCTCTGCCTCTCCCTCCACTGGCTCCCCATTGCCCAATGCATTAAATTCAAACTACTCACTCTGACCTATAAGGCCATTCACAACACTGCCCCTAACTACCTCACCAACCTGATTCCCAGGTACCACCCTACCCGTACCCTTCGCTCTTCACAGGACCTCCTTCTATCTTGTTCCCTGGTCTCCTCCTCCCCCGAACGACTGCAAGACTTCTCCAGGTCCTCCCCCATCCTCTGGAACTCACTACCCCAATCCATCAGACTGTCACCTTCCCTCCTCACCTTCAGGCGCTCCCTGAAAATCCACCTCTTCAGGGAAGCCTACCCCACCCTCACCTAACAGCCGCTGCCCTTCCCTCCTCCTACCACTCCATCCCACACAGCCATTTCCTCCTGTACCTCTACCCCCTCCCTCCTAGATTGTAAGCTCGAAAGAGTAGGGCCTTCTTACCCCTTGTGTGCTGTTTGATGTTACTGTACTGTTTCATGTATTGTCCCCCCCTCTATTGTACAGCGCTGAGCAAACCCTTTGGCGCTATATAAACTCGATAAATAAATAAATACAGGGGATCATGGGGTAATTGCACCATTCCCGGTTCACCAATCACCCTCCCTGTGCCCCCCAGCAACAATATATCCCACCATTCAGTAGATCCCCCAGCAACAATAAACCCCCCCATCAGCAGATCCACTCTAGCAATAGACCACCTCCCTCATCAGTACACCCCCTCCGCTCAGCAACAATAGATTCCTTCATGAGTAGATCCTCCCAAGCAACAATAGACCTCCCCTCAGGGGCGGACTGACCATTTGGAAACTCTGGCACTGCCCGAGGGCCCGGGGTCAGTAGGGGACCCCATGAGATGCCCCTGGTACCTTTTTCATAGGCTTTTTTGAGTTTGGGTAAGGACACAGGGGCCCATGATCCCCTATTGCCCGGGGGCCCCATGAGTTGTCAGTCCGCCCCTGACCCCATCCTTTCTATATAACAGAGCTATGTTGTAAGCCATTCTGAAACATTTTTTTGTTCTATCTTTCAGCTTAAATCACATTCTCTTGACAAGAAAATTCATATGAAGAGACAAGGAGACAAGCTAGTGATCAACAGAGTCATTACAGAGGGCCAGGTGAGGTATTAGAAATATTATAACTCTGATCATTGTGGCCACGGAGTCCCGGGTTCACATATCACATGGGTTCTCTCTAAAAGTTTAGTCAATATGTCTAGTTTAGTTTCTACCTAAAGCTGACTTCTCTCTGTATCAGTATATGTACCACTATGTGTACAGGAAACACGCTTGATTTACTAAAGGCAAATAGACGGTGCACTCTGCATGTGCAGTTGCTCCAGAGCTTAGAAAATGAGATGAAGCTTCACTTCATACCCAATCACATGCAAGGAAAAATTAAAAAAAAACAGCAATTGGATAATGGAAGTCAGCAGAACTTTCCCTCATTTATTAATAAGCTCTTGAGCAACTGTGTAAAAGTGCACAGTCTACACTTACCAGCCAGGTCCACCTTGCTAGTCCCGGGTTGGACCCCCTTTTTCCTTCAGAACTGCCTTCATTCTTCGTGGCATAAGGTGTTGGAAATGTTCCTCAGAGATTTTGGTCCATATTGACATGATGGCATCATGCAGTTGCTGCAGGTTTGTCGGCTGCACATTCATGATGCGAATCTCCCGTTACACCGGATCCCAAAGGTGCTCTATTGGATGGAGATCTGGTAACTGTGGAGGCCATTGGAGTACAAGGACCTCATTGTCATGTTCAAGAAACCAGTTGGAGATGATTTGATCTTTGTGACATGGTGCATTATGCTGCTGGAAGGAGCCACCAGAGGATGGATACACTGGACTCATATACAGTGAGGAACAGAAGTATTTGAACACCCTGCGATTTTGCAAGTTATCCCACTTAGAAATCATGGAGGGTCTGAAATTCACATTGTAGGTGCATTCCCACTCTGAGAGACAGAATTAAAAAAAAAATTCAGGAAATCACATTATATGATTTTTAAAGAATGTATTTGTCTTGCACTGCTGAACATAAGTATTTGAACACCTGAGAAGATCCGTGTTAATATTTGGTACAGAAGCCTTTGTTTGCAATTGCAGAGGTCAAACGTTTCCTGTAGTTCTTGACCAGGTTTGCACTGCAACAGGGATTTTGGCCCACTCCTCCACACAGATCTCCTCTAGATCTGTCAGGTTTCGGGGCTGTCACTGAGCAACACGGAGTTTCAGCTCCCTCCAAAGATGTTCTATTGGATTTAGGTCTGGACACTGGCTAGGCCACTCCAGAACCTTGATATGCTTCTTACAAAGCCACTCCTTGGTTATCCTGGCTGTGTGCTTCGGGTCGTTGTCATGTTGGAAGACCCAGCCACGACCCATCTTCAATGCTCTGACTGAGGGAAGGAGGTTGTTGCTCAAAATCTCACAATAAATGGCCCCATTCATCCTCTCCTTAATACAGTGCAGTCGTCCTGTCCCCTTCGCAGAAAAGCACCCCCAAAGCATGATGTTACCACCCCCATGCTTCACAGTAGGGATGGTGTTCTTGGGATGCAACTCATCCTCCTTTTTCCTCCAAACACGACGAGTGAAGTTTAGAGCAAACAGTTCTACTTTGGTCTCATCTGACCACATGACTTTCTCCCATGCCTCCTCTGGATCATCCAGATGGTCATTGGCAAACTTCAGACGGGCCTGGACATGTGATGACTTGAGCAGGGGAACCTTCCGTGCAATGCATGATTTGAAACCATGACGGCGTAGTGTTCTACTGACAGTGACCTTTGAAACTGTGGTCCCAGCTCTCTTCATATCATTGACCAGCTCCTCCCTTGTAGTTCTGGGCTGATTCCTCACCTTTCTTCTCATCAGTGATACCCCATGAGGTGAGATCTTGCATGGAGCCCCAGTCCGAGGGAGACTGACAGTCGTCTTTAGCCTCTTCCATTTTCTAACAATTGCTCCAACAGTTGATCTATTTTCGCCAAGCTGCTTGGCAATTGCCCCGTAGCCCTTTCCAGCCTTGTGGAGGTCCACAATTTTGTCTCAGGTATCTTTTGACAGCTCTTTGGTCTTGCCCATGGCAGTAGTTGGCGTCTGACTGACTGTGGGGTGGACAGGTGTCTTTAAAGAGCTCAGACAGGTGCTACTAAGTTAGATTAATGAAAAGAGTAGAGATGGACTTTTTAAAGGCACAGTAACAGGTCTTTTAGAGCCAGAATTCTTGCTGTTTCTTAGGTATTCAAATACTTATGTTCAGCAGTGCAAAAGAAATAAATTCTTTAAAAATCATACAATGTGATTTCCTGAATTTGTTTTTTTAATTCTGTCTCTCAGAGTGGGAATGCACCTACAAATTGGGAGAACTTGCAAAATCGCAGGGTGTTCAAATACTTCTGTTCCTCACTGTAGGGATGGACATGGTCAGCAACAATACTCAGGTAGGCCGTGGCGTTTAAACGATGCTCAGTTGGTACTAAGGGGCCCAAAGTATGCCAAGAAAATATCCCCACACCATGACACCACCACCACCAGCCTGTACCAGGGATACAAGGTAGGATGGATCCATGCTTTCATGTTTTTTACACCAAATTCTGACCCTACCATCTGAATGTCGCAGGTGAAATTGAGACTCATCAGACCAGGCAATGTTATTCCAATTTTTGTGGGCCTGAGTGAATTGTAGCCTCCGTTTCCTGTTCTTAGCTGACAGGAGTGGCACCCGGTGTGGTCTTCTGCTGCTGTAGCCCATCTGCTTCAAGGTGCGACGTGTTGTGCGTTTAGAGATGGTGTTCTGCATACCTTGGTTGTAATAAGTGGCTATTTGAGTTACTGTTGCCTTTCTATCATCTGGAACCCAGATGATAGGTCTGTCTGCCCATTCTCCTCTGACCTTTGACATCAACAAGGCATTTTCATTCACACAACTGCCGCTCACTGGATATTTTCTGTCTTTCAGACCATTCTCTGTAAACACTAGAGATGGTTGTGCCTGAAAATCCCAGTAGATCAGCAGTTTTAGAAATACTCAGACCAGCCCGTCTGGCACCAACAACCATGCCACAATCAAAGTTACTTAAATCCCCTTTCTTCCCCATTCTGATGCTCGGTTTAAACGTCAGCAAGTCTTCTTCACCACGTCTAGATGCATTGAGTTGCTGCCATGTGATTGGCTGATAGAAATTCGTGTTACCAAGCAATTGAACAGGTGGACCTAATAAATTGGCCAGTGAGTGTATTTGCCTTCAGTAAATCAGCCCCACTGACTTATTATTATTCACGCCAATGACAAGCCAATTACAGCGGTCACATGATCTAAAACCCTGCCCTGCCTTCCGGCATCTGAAACTCCCTAAAGGGCCAGGAGGCAGGGTGTTAATGGGTTAAGGTATAATGTATAACATGGTACCAAGTCATAGACAATCTGTGCATGAGTAAACCACAAGTCCCATCCACTGCCGTGGCAGAAGTACTTGTAGTTATCAGTGGAACACAAGCACTCCATCCATCGATACATCTTTCAGTTGTCTAATGGAAAGTCCATATCTCTGTATGGACAAGTGTGACGGGATTCACTTTGGGTGAGGGGCGCATGGAACACAGCTCACTTTGGAGAGGTGGGGAGACCCCTGTCTCAGCTCCCCATATCCCTCTTATGTGTAAATCGCCCTGTGCCTGTTAGGGGTACAGGGTGATCTGTCCTAATATTGTGTGGGGGTTGTTGATTGTTTAATGCCATGTGGTTGCATCCCATTGTTCTATTGTTTGTCTGGTTTGGGAGCAAACTATTATTGGATGTATATGTGTATGTGTATTAGCTTAGTGGGAGAGTGTCTCCAGGAGCCCAACCCCCTGATGGGACTGTCTGTTGGTGTGTCTCTTGTTACTAAATGTAGATTGCCCCGCCCTGTGTCATTATGCAGGGAGGGGGGATTGTCCCCTGAGTGTATATATCTTGTATCTGTGTTCAAATAAACTAGTCTACCTCCTGGTTTACTTCAAGACTGGTGTCATCTAGTCTTGTATGGTCTGCTGTGGTGTCTGTTGTCAGTGTTCGGGCAGGGAAGCGGTATTCTAACGGAAGTACTCAAGCGCAGTCAGGTTCCGTTACAAGGAGCTGGAGGAAGAATTTGCAGGAGCCAGTGCGTTCCATCCACTGTTTGCAGTTGCAATGCTTTGCAGGCTTGTTTACTAAAAAAAAAATAATAATTGCAACATTGTTCTGCAATTGTGAGTGTAATGATTAATATTAGCATTATTATATTTTTTTTTTTTTTTGCAAAAGGAGGAGTTAGCCTTTAAGCAGGGGCGCAGATGCCTGTGCTGCTGAGGTAGTAGTACACAATTTTTTGGAGGGCACAGTTTGGCCATTTAGCCTTGAGTGATAAAGAACCTTGTTCTCATATGTATATACATACATATTATATAGAGCAGCCTTTCTCAATGCTTTAAAGCTGCCTTTTTCAACCAGGGTGCCCAGGCACCCTGGGGTGCCTTGAGGTTTCTTCAGGGGTGCCTTGGCAAAATGTCTAAAAATTGCCCAAAACTTATATACAAGCCAGCGGGTGGAACAAGCCGGCCTTTTAGTTACACAAAGCCACAGGTTTTCATTGCCCACCATTATGACCTTCTAGCCGCCGGCGTCCTGACAAAACTAGTGACATCATCAGTTGATAAGGAGGATGTCAGATGCCTGCACAGCATCCTAGTTTGACCCTCCCCCGCCCCTCTCCATCAGTGCTGGGGTCACATTAGCTCAGTGATGGAGAAAAACTGAGGGAGAAGAGAAACATGTGCAAAAGTGAATTTGCTTTGGAAGAATAAATCACCTCTAATGTTGAGCGTCCTACATGTGTGGATGCTGCTGTTAGAATAGTTTTTTACATTTTAGAATGGGGTGCCTCAAGACTGTCCATAATTTTAAAGGGTGCCTCGGGACTGTCCATAATTTTAAAGGGTGACTTGACTGATAGAATGTTGAGAAACTGTGATATCCACTTGCCCTCCTGAGGATTTACCCCCCTTCCTGTCCAGGCCATTTTTTGCGTTACGTCGCTGTGTTACTTTAACTAAAAAAGTGCGTGGTCGTGCAACACTGCACCCAAATGAAATTTACCTTCTTTTATTTTCCTACGAATTGAGATTTCTTTTGCTGGTATTTGATCGCCTGTGCATTTATTTTTTTCTCTATAAAAACAAAAAAGACTGAAATTTTGAGCAAAAAAAATATATATTTTTGTCTTTTTGCTATTAAACATGTCCAGTAAAATTTTAAAAAATCTAATTTCATCATAAGTTTAAACCAAAGTGTATTCTGCACCATGTCTTTGCTAAAAAAAAAATCCTGTGTACAGCCATCCAGAGCAGTGTGCCCGAGCTGACAGGGAAGGAGGACTGTTATTAAACAAAACAGTCCTCCTCACCGTCGGTGATCATTGGAAATCACCAGGCGCCAGTGAATAATTGCCGGCCAGGGCTCGCTATACAGTATCTCTGCTGTAGGGCACCAGGGAAGCAGATATAGAGTACATAAAGTACTATAAAGAGATGACTGTGGAAGGTATTGTGCATTAGAGTGGAAGGCTAGCTCAACACACACATATGTTTTTTGAACAGATTCCTCAAGCCATGCTATACAGCATGAATCTCTTGCTGCATGTTTTATATTATGACAGCCAGTGTCAGAGATTGTCAGAATACTCAAACAGTGGCTGCATCTGATTGGATACAACTACTCTATGGCAGCCCACCGCTTCAATTTCTCAGTCAAAGGATGTCGGGTGGGAGGTTTCATCAGAAAGTGTATGGCTATCTTAAAGCGGAGTTCCACTCACACTGTGAAAAAATAAAAGTCAGCAGCTACAAAAACTGTAGCTGACGATTTTTAAAATACAGCCACTAACCCGCGGTATCCTCCCCGCAGCATGTTTCACCGGCCATACAGTGTTCCTGGCATCAGCATCTTCAGTGTGGGCACCTGGCTGAGACAGCTTGCGGCTTCACAGCCTGGTGCACACTGTGCATGTGCTTTCTGAATGGTCCCGTAGTCTTCTGGGACCCATCACCTGTCCCAGAAGACTATGCGGAGGGAGGACAACGTCTGCTTCTGATCGCCCAGGCGGAAGTGGGAGCGAGTACCTGTCAATTTCCTCAAAGGTGTCAATCCTTAACGGGGAGCGGGGGACCAGTCTTTAACCACTTGCTGAGTGCAGATAGCCAAACGATAGCGCACCTGGTGATCTCCGTGATCGCTGTGTCCTATGGACACAGCTGATCACGTGATGTGGTAAAAGGCCAATCATCAGCAGCCTTTTACCATGTGATCAGCTGTGTCCAATGACACAGCAGATCACCGGAAAATGCAGTTGCCAGTTATCGGCAACTCATCCTCATGCTGTCACAGCGTGAGGAAAGTACTGCCGATAACCGGCAACTGTCAGAGAACGGATCGGCACTGATCATCAGGGCACTAATGATCAGTGCCCAGCAGTGCCACCCACCAGTGCCACCCACAAGTGCCCAGCAGTGCCGCCCACCTGTGCCCATCAAGGCCACCCCCAGTGCTGCCCAGCAGTGCCTATTAGTGCCCAGCAGTGCCGCCTATTAGTGCCCATCATTGTTGCATATCAGTGCCACCTATCAGTGCCCATCATTGTTGCATATCAGTGCCACCTATCAGTGCCCATCATTGTTGCATATCAGTGCCACCTATCAGTGCCCATCATTGTTGCATATCAGTGCCAGCTCATCAGTGCTGCCTCTCAGTGCCCGTCAGTGCAGCCTCATCAACGCACATCAGTGAAGGGAGAAAAATTGCCTGTTTGCAAAATTTTATAATAGAAACAAAGAAAAACTTTTTTTATTTTTTCAAAATGTTTGCCATTTTTTTCGATTATAGCGCACAAAATAAAACACCCAGCAGCGAGTACATGCCACCAAAAGAAAGCTCTATTTGTGAGAAAAAAATTATAAAAATTTCATATGGGTGCAATGTTGCATGACTGCGCAATTGTCATTCAAAGTGCGACAGCACTGAAAGCTGAAAATTGACCTGGGCAGGAAGGGGGGTATAAGTGCCCAGTAGGCAAGTGGTTAAAGCCGAACTTCCCCTTTTGGGTGGAGCTCCGCTTTAACATCCTTTGACGTCAGTAATTGCAATGTTAATGCCTTTAATATATAACAGTAACATAAATATATGATTGCGGTTGGGATATTTGAGTATAATATATAATAATTACAACCGCTTAATAAGAAGTGTTATTCATGGCTAGCACTGGTAATAAATTGCTGTTGTCTCATTATAGCAAATGCAGCAAGAAACATCATCACATGACCTGAGCTCGCTGAGCGGGTTTATTTCTGAAGCATCAAACTTGCTGATTATGCGGCTTATGGTGAGAATGAAGAATAAGGAACACTTGGACTTCCTAGCCTTCGACACAGAGATGAACTTGTGTATTTCTTCTTATGTGAGTAATAGGGTGACAGATGTATAACACAGACAAAGAGTCGTTAAAAACATGCTTCAGGCATAGCTGTGCATCAAAGATGAATGAGGAAGGGAAGCTCCTAGTGGCTCGGAGCTCACACAGGGATCAGAGTTCCCCCAGCTTCACATGTGTCAGTGTTATGCTGATCGCTAAGTACCAACTCACATAAGAGCAGTTTTCTCTTCTTCAGTCCTCCCAAGACCTCTAGTTCCCGTGTCACCTCCTCCTATGCTTGCCTCCAGGACTTCTCCCGAGCTTCTTCCATCCTATGGAACTCCCTACCCCAATCTATCTCCTAAGCTATCCACCTTTAGACCTTCCCTGAAAAACCTACTCTTTAAAGAAGCCTATCCTGCTTCTATCTAATACACTGCATTTTTCCATCTCCATCAGCTCATCCCCCACAGCTATTACTGTTTGTATTACTTGACCCTCCCTCTTAGATTGTAAGCTCCCAGGAGCCGGGCCCTTTGTTTCCTCTTGTACCAAATTGTATTGTAACTGTAGTGTCTGCCTTCATTTTATAAAGTGCTGTGCTATATACATCCTGTATTTTAATAATAATCTCCAAACTGTGACCTATGGGCTGCATGTGACCCTTTGCTTGCCTTCATCTGACCCCTGGAGCACAATTCTTCCCACTGACACATAGTACTATTATTCCTCTGGACTGCAATGACAAGGCACCATTCCTTCAACTGGCACCAAAAGTGGGGCATTATTCCTTCCACTAAAACCAACGATGGGGCACTATTCTTTTCACTGTTATAAACATTGGAACACTATTTCTCACAAAGAAACCAATGATGGGGCGCTATTTCTTCCACTGACACCAATGATGGGGCACTATTTTTTCCACTGACACCAACAATGGGGCATCATTCCTTCCACTGACACCAATGATAGGGCACTATTCCTTTCATTGACACCAATTCTGGGAAACTATTCCTTCCACTGACTCCAATGATGGGGGGGGGGGGGCACTATTTCACCCATTGACACCAGTGGTGGGCACTATTCCTTCCACAGACACCAATGATAGGGTACTATTCCGTCCACGGACACCAATGATGGGGCACTATTCCTCCCACTGATACCAATGATGGGGCACTATTCCTCCCACTGACACTAATGATGGGGCACTATTCCTCCCACTGACACCAATGATGGGGCACTATTCCTCCCACTGACGCCAATGATGGGGCACTATTCCTCCCACTGACGCCAATGATGGGGCACTATTCCTCCCACTGATACCAATGATGGGGCACTATTCCCCCCACTGACACCAATGATGGGGCACTATTTCCCCCACTGATACCAATGATGGGGCACTATTCCTCCCACTGACGCCAATGATGGGGCACTATTCTTCTCACTGACACCAATGATGGGGCACTATTCCTCCCACTGACACCAATGATAGGGCACTATTCCTCCCACTGACACCAATGATGGGGCACTATTCCACCCACTGACACCAATGATGGGGCACTATTCCTCCCACTGACACTAATGATGGGGCACTATTCCTCCCACTGACACCAATGATGGGGCACTATTCCTCCCACTGACGCCAATGATGGGACACTATTCCTCTCACTGACACCAATGATGGGGCACTATTCCTCCCACTGACGCCAATGATGGGGCACTATTCCTCCCACTGACCAATGATGGGACACTATTCCTCTCACTGACACCAATGATGGGGCACTATTCCTCCCACTGACACCAATGATAGGGCACTATTCCTCCCACTGACACTAATGATGGGGCACTATTCCACCCACTGACACCAATGATGGGGCACTATTCCACCCACTGACACCAGTGTAATTATTCACAGTATACACTAATAGTCACTTTTAAGTTATTCTTAACACTATTAATTGTTATTTTGGATTTACTTATTAGACGGCAATATCCAGGGTAGCGCTGCACCAGTTTATATATGTATTTTTCTAATTAAACAAGTGCGGCTGTGAAAGTCATAAAACAAAGAAAGTGTTCATATGATGGTGAGGGTCTGACAAACAATGGTCAGAAAATTGTGCCGCAGGATCTGCAGGAAGCCCCATTTAACCACTTCCAGTCCGGACACTTTTACCCCCTTCCTGCCCAGGACAATTTTCAGCTTTCAGTGCTATCTATCATACGTTGAATGACAATTGCGCGGTCATGCAACACTGTACCCATATGAATTTTTTTAGCATTTTTTGAGACAGATAAAGCTTTATTTTGGTGGTATTTATTCACCACTGGGATTTTTATTTTTTTTGCTATGTAAATTAAAAAGTCCAAATATTTTGAAAAAAAGTGTTTTTCTTATAAAATTTTTCAAATGAATAGTATTTCATCATAAATCTTGGCCAAAATTTATTCCGTTATATTTTTAGTAAAAAAAATAACCCAAATTAGTTTATAACCATAAATTATAATTTTTAAACTTTTTTTATTTTATTTTATGTTTATTTTTTTACATACTGTCACCCTAGCAATACAGTGTCACCATGGTGACACTGTACTACTTGTGGGGGGTGAAGATTTTTTTTTTACACTGATTGCTTTTACACCCATAAAGGATGTAAAAGCAATCATTTCTCCTCTCTGGCTGCATTCTTGCAGCCATTGAGAATTACTGAGTGAGCTGTGATTGGTCACAGCTTGTCACATGGTACAAGGCTGTTGTGAATAGCCCTGTACTATGTGACCTCTGTGATCATTCACAGATTTCACACATAGTAAGCAATGATGTCACAAGTGACATCTTGCTTACTACTCTGCATGTGATCACTGATTGGCGAATCAATGATCATATGATCGGGACCTCTTACAGAGGTCCCGTCCGATGATCAGTGTTCCACTGTGTCCGGAGGACACATCGAGCACCGGATCACGGTGCTGCGCGCTCCCAGGGAGCGCGCACAAGCAGGGTGCAGGGAGGCCGTTTATAAATGGCCACCCGACCCTGCACTGCCACCATCCGGCTGTTTATATACAACAGCCGGACGGGAGGTGGTTAAGTGGACCAGACAGATAGCATGGGAAGAAACTCCCTCCTCTGGATCTGAGACTTTCACAGCCGCACTCGTTCTGTCTGTCTGGTGTTACTAAACCCACAATAAAATCAGTCTGTATATGCAGTAAAACATGCTTGCTATACTCACTGGAACCTAAGGGGTTAATCCCCCACATTGTGTAAAAAGGCTGTTTGATCCTGTCTTCTCTGATCCTCCCCTTCTTCTACTGTCCCCAATCCATCTGCTGATAGGACAGAGAGGGCAAGCTGCACATGCTCAGTTTGGTGTGTATTACTAGAGAGGGGTTTTTATTGGAGGAGAGTGAATGTGATCAGCACCGAGCCAATCGGTGCTATCCAGACAGAGGGTCAGGGGTTCTGCAGCCTCATAGGACAGTCAGGGGAGAATGAAAACTCCTCCTACAAGCTTTAAGCAGTTCTCTGCTGGACACTGATAGAAGTCACAAGACTGCTATATACTGCTGATGGGAAAAGGTATTTAGCAGTTTATATTTACTGAAATAATTGCATTTCCATGTTGGGGGACCAGATATAATGTGACAAGATATAGTACAGGGTGGGGAGACCAGATATAATGAACCAGGGTCCGGGGAGACAAGATATAGTGAATGCAGGGTCCGGGGAGACCAGATATGGTGAATAAGAAAAATTAATAATAGCGCCTATGGTCAAAATTGTATAACTTACTAATAGTGTACCAGCTGCAAAAAACCACCATATATAAAGTGTACCAATTAATAAATAATTTGCGCTAGTAAATATATATAAATATATGTAAAGAAATCATCAAATCATAAGTCCAGAAAAATATATATATACCAATACCACAGAAAAATATAAAAAACTTTTTAGGTGCAAAAAAAAAAACTTTTGTGCAAAAGGAGTGTCTCAATATAAAAAAGTGTCTCAATATAAAAAAATTTCACCAAAAAACCTTGATAATATAATGGCAGATCATCCATAAAAATATCTTCAGAAACGGAAGCTCTCCAACACACCGATCCTCATCGATCGAAATAACAGGACGAAAAACTTTGTAGTTAATCGAAAATCCACTTCTCGAATAGAAAAAGGACCACCTTCAAACGTATCCATGGGGGGAAATGCCAAGCACTCGAGAGAAACAGAAAGACTTCATGGTGCAATATTATAAAAACCAATTCCTTTATTAGATACTCATTGCACTTACTCAAGAGGTGTCCCAGCCGACACCAGCACAACAGCATCAACAGCAATCACATAAACGAGCCTGACTACTCAGCACATGTGCAATAGCTGGCAGTCAAAAACGTAATGACATCACATCAATCAAGCTCCGCCCAATGGGGGAGCTTGATTGATGTGATGTCATTACATTTTTGACTGCCAGCTATTGCACATGTGCTGAGTAGTCGTTTAGTGATTGCTCGTTTATGTGATGCTGGTTGCTGGTTGATGCTGGTGTCGGCTGGGACACCTCTTGAGTAAGTGCAATGAGTATCTAATAAAGGAATTGGTTTTTATAATATTGCACCATGAAGTCTTTCTGTTTCTCTCGAGTGCTTGGCATTTCCCCCCATGGATACGTTTTTGAAGGTGGTCCTTTTTCTATTGGAGAAGTGGATTTTCGATTAACTACAAAGTTTTTCGTCCTGTTATTTCGATCGATGAGGATCGGTGTGTTGGAGAGCTTCCGTTTCTGAAGATATTTTTATGGATGATCTGCCATTATATTATCAAGGTTTTTTGGTGAAATTTTTTTATATTGAGACACTTTTTTATATTGAGACACTCCTTTTGCACAAAAGTTTTTTTTGCACCTAAAAAGTTTTTTTTTATATTTTTTTTTTTATATTTTTCTGTGGTATTGGTATATATATATTTTTCTGGACTTATGATTTGATGATTTCTTTACATATATTTATATATATATTTACTAGCGCAGATATGGTGAATGCAGGATCCGAGGAGACCGGATATGGTGAATGCAGGATCCGGGGATACCAGATATTGTGAATGCAGGGTCCGGGGATACCAGATATAGTGAATGTAGGGTCCAGGGAGACCTGATATAGTGAACGCAGGGTCCGGGGAGACCAGATATGGTGAATGCAGGATCCGAGGAGACCGGATATGGTGAATGCAGGGTCCGGAGGAGACCGGATATAGTGAACGTAGGGTCCGGGGAGACCTGATATAGTGAACGTAGGGTCCGGGGAGACCTGATATAGTGAACGTAGGGTCCGGGGAGACCTGATATAGTGAACGTAGGGTCCGGGGAGACCTGATATAGTGAACGTAGGGTCCGGGGAGACCAGATATAGTGAACGCAGGGTCCGGGGAGACCAGATATAGTGAATGCAGGGTCCTGGGAGACCGGATTAAGTGAATGCAGGGTCCGGGGAAACCAGATATATTGAATGCAGGGTCCAGTGAGAGCGGATATAGTGAATCCAGGGTCTGGGGAGACCAATATAGTGAATGCAGGGTCTGGGGAGACTGGATATAGTGAATGCAGGGTCCGGAGACCGGATATAGTGAATGCAGGGTCCAGGAAGACCGGATTTAGTGAATGCAGGGTCCGGGGAGACCAGATATAGTGAATGCAGGGTCCTGGGAGACCAGATATAGTGAATGCAGGGTCCTGGGAGACCAGATATATGAATGCAGGGTCCTGGGAGACCAGATATAGTGAATGCAGGGTCCTGGGAGACCAGGATATAGTGAATGCAGGGTCCTGGGAGACCAGATATAGTGAATGCAGGGTCCCTGGGAGACCAGATATAGTGAATACAGGGTCCGGGGAGACCGGATATAGTGAATGCAGGGATCCGGGAAGACCAGATTTAGTGAATGCAGGGTCCGGGGAGACCAGATATATATAGAATGCAGGGTCCGGGGAGAGCGGATATATAGAATGCAGGGTCCCGGGGAGAGCGGATATAGTGAATGCAGGGTCCGGGGAGCAGATATAGTGAATGCAGGGTCCGGGGAGAGCAGATATAGTGAATGCAGGGTCCGGGGAGAGCGGATATAGTGAACGCAGGGTCCGGGGAGAGCGGATATAGTGAACCCAGGGTCCGGGGAGAGCGGATATAGTGAACGCAGGGTCCGGGGTGTATATGGTTTCATCACTTGAACTTGACCTTAACTCCTGTATTCTGTGCCTTGCTCATCTTATGTTTTATTCTGTATGTTCCAGAGTGACCTCGGATCCCATCCCCAGGTTATCGGGAAAGACACAGTGGAGGTTTATGGCATAGAAAGAACGATTTACTCTGAGGATATCCCTAACACTTGGCAGTACTACTTCCTATCAGACGGGTAATTGTGAAGAGCTTGTACCTTTATCCATCTCACTGTAACCAGATTGGTTTATTCTGGCTTGTTTTTCCCCAAGCCTTACTTCATAGAAGTCATTCATTCCACATAATGCACTGATGATACCTAACAAGCCATGCTGATATAAGAATCAGTCACGGCATTCTTGCCATGGCAATATAGGGATACACCCTCTTGCATTGATGATGGCGGAAGTGGCATCATTGCCATGAATTTCTTTCCTTTGTGACAAAGGGGATCTGTTCTCATTTTAATAATGATGGCTATACATTGCTGCCATGACAATGGAGATATTGAACCTCCTTGGCAAAGTAAGAATCTGTCACAAAACCATTGCCATGATGAGAGGAATGTACCCTGGTGCCATGTCATTGGAGGAATCTTCCCCTGTACTTGGAAGTGTTTTATACATCCTATTATTGGCCTGCACAGCAGAAATCAGACCAAGTGGACGGCTTTGCATTGCAAGCTGCTCAGATTTCTACTGCACTGCATAATAATGTCACTCTAACATGTTTCAGGTACTGGGAGCCAGAGAAGAAGTATTTTAGGCAGTTTGTAAAAATGAGAATAAGAGCACACAGTGAATAAGACGATTATTCTAATTCAGTGAGCAGGGAGGTGACAAGGCAAGACGCAGTGCCGCCATAGTGAATAGTGGCACTACCCTACTGAATTATAAATTCTTAATAGTAACCCCCGCCCCCCTCCGTTACCTTAACCTAACGTGTGAACATCATCCTTTTGATTTAAAATTCAAATAAAATGATTTAAAAAAAATAACAATCCTTTAAAATATAAAGGACAAGTTTACTAATTCTCAAAAATCTTCCAGCCCCTTCCCCTAAATTATGATAATGGGACCATTCCCAAATGCTTACTTCTGATGGCATCTGCGGCCTCCTGCATTTTTTACATCCCACTGCACAAAAATCTAGTGTTGGGCTGCCTATTCCTCAGCACTAATGTCCTATAGACTTGAATGCGATATACCTGTACAGCTGGAGCATCACCACCATTACTAGTATTAAAAAAAAAAAAATCCAGTTTATATATCATTGCTCATAGACGCTATACCTTTTGCACAAACCAATTAATATACACTTATTGGGATTTTATTTACCAAAGTCATATAGCAAAATATACTTTAGCCTAATTTTATAAAGAAATTAGATTTTTTTTTATTTTTTTTTATTGAATTTGTTGTAAAACAGAAAATATTGTTTGTTTTAAAAATGTTCAGTCTTTTGTCATTTATATAATAAAACATAAAAAAAAAAACAGTGGTGATCAAATACCACAAAAGAAAGCTCTATTTGTGTAAAAAAAATTATAGAAATTTCATGACCACGCAATTGCCACATAAAGTAGCACAGTGCTGAATAGCAAAAAAATGCCCTTGTCATGAAGGGGGTAAAATCTTCCAGAGCTTAAGTGGTTAAACTTGACAGTTTTAGTCTTGAAAATTATAATCAGGGCTTTTGCTGTAAAACAAAGAATTATTAAATGGAGTGCCACACAGTACAGTTCAACCTCCCTGGTGGCATTCCTGAGTGTAGCTCGGGGTAAAGTTTCAGCACCACAAGCGGTAACCCCGAGCTACACTTGGGAATACCCTGCAGCGTTGCTCCGGGATCTCTTCTGTACTTACCTTGTCCTGCGCTCCCACAATGTCCCCCCTGCAGTGTTCCCGGCAATGTCCTCCGGCCGATGCCGGCATCCGTCTTCCGGGTTCCTTTCCCTGCGATGTCGGGATGTACGGGGGACAGAACTGGCGGGAAATTCAAAAATGTGAAAAAGTAAATACATTAAAATCTCATAGTATTCCATTACTGTATCCAACCATTTCACATACATTTTGTCCCAGACGTGTCCTGCCTGCATTTTTACTGTTCTTTCTGCCTGGAAACTGAGAAACGTCCATGGCGTCCAAAAAGCGTCCCTTTAGGTCAAAATCGGTTTTAGACCGGCTAGAGAACAGCGATAGTAAATCAGAACCACTTGCAGAATTGAGTGATAATGATTCGTGGGGGAAATTCCTCATCAGACACTGAAAACGATTTTGCAACTTTGCTCAGCGATGTGCGAACTTGGCGCTCTATTTCAAATTTCAGTGTTTTTGGTTTGATTATATTATTGAATTAAATTTATTATTATTATATTATTATTTTTTTTATGATCATTTATTAAATTATAATTTTGTGTTTCAAGTTTTAACATACCCGGGATGTTTACTGGACTCTTGTTTGGAGAGATTTCAATGAGTTATTCCTAAAAATTACAGCCTACAATAAAAAAAATACATATTTCCATGCAAAAAAATGTACCGCTTTGAGCACAGAAATACTGACATAATCAGACCACTAGGGAGGCTACAAGTAGATTTATCAAATGTTCAATAAATGTGTTGCCAAAAATGGAAACATTTACCTTTACTCAGCTATGAGTTAGACGACACTATGACAATGATCCGACCAACCAATCCTTTAATTTTCTTCCCTTTTTTCAGGCATTTGGCTAGTCGGGTCCAGGTCGGCTCTCCTGTTTTCGTCAAACTAATGGAAATGCCCATATTGTCCGAGCCAGGTAGGACAAATGTGTCATCTGGGGATTTGCTGAACTGTGAAAGGGTTGAAACAGTGAAAGTTTACAAAACATATTCAATTGGTACTAAAATTATTATTATTATTATACAGGATTTATATAGCGCCAACAGTTTGCTCAGCGCTTTACAATATAACGGGAGACAATACAGCAACAATACAGTTCAATACAAGAGGGTTAGGAGGGCCCTGATCCTGGGAGCTTACAATCTAAGAGGGAGGGGCTAGTGGTACAAAAGGTAATAACCGTGGGGGGATGGACTGGTAGGAGGAGTAGAAGATTCTGTTATTATCTGAGGGCAGGATAGGCTTCCCTGAAGAGATCGGTTTTCAGAGATCGCCTAAAAGTGAGCAGAGTAGGCTCTGATAAATTGGGGTAGAGAGTTCCAGAGGATGGGGGAAGCTCTGGAGAAGTCCTGGAGACGAGCATGGGAGGAGGAGACGAGGGAGCTAGAGAGCAGGAAGTCGTGCTTATCATGTCCTTTGTGCAAAATTCACCTTTTGATGGAAGTGTTAGTTTTGCGTAGTGTCGTCTTTGATCCACCACAATGGAAGCAGTGGTCTTTCTGCAGTGGTCTGACACACCTCTTTGCTGAGACAGACGTATAGCTCTGCAATCAGCAATGATCACGCTCTCTAATAATTGGAGAGCCCCAGCTCAACAAGGGGAATGTCAATGCTCTGCAGGGAGACCACTGATTCCACACAAAGAACAAGGGACCAACTCTGCAGTATGCTGGCAAGGGACAAGGCTCCTCCAATCAGGCTGTCATCAGGCTGTCATCAGGCTACCTTCTAAAGAAAACAAACTGTAATGCAGGCCATACACCAGTTGAATTCCGAACAAACTTTCTTTAGAAAATCGGAACTTTTGTGCGTTTTGTAATCCGATGGCGCCACCATTGATTTTGAAATTTGACCAACTAAGCCTTTAATGTCACCTCATGTTGCTACAGAGAAGAATGTTCATGGCCAAGAATTTTCATTTCATTCCAGGTCACCCCTCACGCTCATTTCTTTTCCAATTACATTTCTCGCACGATTCTCCCATCATTGATTAGAAATTTGTTCCTTTTTCAAAAAATTTCCAACATGCCCGATCACTCAAATTCGATGATCACTTGAAAATTGGCCATTGATGTGGATCACTAATGGTGCAAAATTCGAACGAAAATTCTTAGAAAAACATTTTGAAAGTAAATTCTTTCAGTATTCAACCCATGTATGGCTGGCTTAAGACATTGCACAGCTTTTTTTTTTTGATACACCTGATACAGCTGCTTTCATCTGACAGTTTAGTTAGGCTTTAAAGTGACCTTGTTGTATTAGAAGCTTTGGAAACACTATGGTCTAACAGGCTAGCTTCAGACCTATGCCTTGCAAAACACACATTTTGCCAGGTTTCTGCAATTCATGGTAACACGTGACATTTTGTGTGCTGCATTTATTTAGAATGACACCTCAACAAGCAACACACCTGCAGCACACATGCAAATGCTGCAGGTATAGTTTTTGGTTCAGAGGCTGCGTATTGATGTATGAGCTATCTTAGTGAACCTGTCACCTATTTAAAGGGAAACTGAACTCTGTAAGTTGTGTCAAAACAAAAAAGTCAGACAAAGGGCAAATACCTAGTCACCAGTATTGTTTGTGGGCTCCCTGCAGCTGATGTTTTCCCCATTATTGATTTACCGTGTCTTGTTCTGCACTGTGTGTCTGTGTGGAGGCAGCCATCTTGGTAAAGATGGGGCTTTGCTTCATCAAATCACAGCCTCCAGCAGTGCCAGATCTAGCCTCTCTGATCTGGGGTGCAGTGAAAAAGTCAGCGGCATAATGTCAGCTCTGTATGTGTGTGTCACTGATAGTCTGTCACAAAGACTCATGACCTGGGAAACACTATTATGTATTAGGTTTTCATTAGATTAGGAAAAACCTGGTCCCCCTTTACATCAAAAGTCCTCATCAAAGTCCTGGTTTACATCATGGCTACTCATTAGAGTCCCCCTTATATCAGGTGTCCCCATCAGAGTGCCCCCTTATATCAGGTGTCCCCATCAGAGTGCCCCCTTATATCAGGTGTCCCCATCAGAGTGCCCCCTTATATCAGGTGTCCCCATCAGTTCCCATCAGTGCCCCTTATATCTTATATCAGGTGTTCCCATCAGAGTGCCCCCTCGCTTCAGAGTTCCCATCAGAGAGCCCCCTTCCTTCAGGGTTCCCATCAGAGAGCCCCCTTCCTTCAGGGTTCCCATCAGAGCCCCCTTATATCAGGTGTCCCCATCAGCGTGCCCCTTGCTTCAGGTTCTCCCATTTTTTTAAGAGTGCCCCCCTTACTCAGGTCCCCATCAGAGTGTCCCCTTACTATCAGGGTTCCCATCAGAGCCCCTTCCTTCAGGGTTCCCCATCAGAGTGCCCCCCCTTATATCAGGTGTCCCCATCAGAGTGCTCCCTTACTTCAGGGTTCCCCATCGGAGTGCCCCCTTACATCAGGTGTCCCCATCGGAGTGCCCCCTTACATCAGGTGTCCCCATCGGAGTGCCCCCTTACATCAGGTGTCCCCATCGGAGTGCCCCCTTACATCAGGGTGTCCCCATCGGAGTGCCCCCTTACATCAGGTGTCCCCATCGGAGTGCCCCCTTACATCAGGTGTCCCCATCGGAGTGCCCCCTTACATCAGGTGTCCCCCATCGGAGTGCCCCCTTACATCAGGTGTCCCCCATCGGAGTGCCCCCTTACATCAGGTGTCCCCATCGGAGTGCCCCCTTACATCAGGTGTCCCCATCGGAGTGCCCCCTTACATCAGGTGTCCCCATCGGAGTGCCCCCTTACATCAGGTGTCCCCATCGGAGTGCCCCCTTTTTTTTTTTTTTTTTTTTTGTAAAAAGAAAACTGTCTGCAAACCTGGACTTTTTTTCGCATAAATAAAATAATAAAAAGAAAAAAGCTAAAACTGCAAACGCGGCAAAACGCCACTAAACGCTAATGCAAAAACGCTAAAAAACTCAAATTTTTAACATGACTTTACACAGCTAACATTACCAGCGTTATCAAAACACCCCGTGTGCAGGGAGCCTCAAACTTCAGCTTGTTCAATTAACCTCCCTAGCGGTCTGATTTGTCAGTATTTCTGTGCTCAAAGCGGTACTTTTTTTGCATGGAAATATGTTGTTAATTTATTGTAGGCCTGTAATTTTTAGGAATAACTCACTGAAATCTGTCCGAACAAGAGTCTAGTAAACATCCCGGGTATGATAAAATTTGAAACACGAAATCATAAATTATAATTTAATAAATAATCATAAAAATATAATAATAATAATACATTTAATTCAATAATATAATCAAACCAAAAACACTGAAATTTGAAATAGAGCGCCAAGCTCACACATCACTGAGCAAAGTCGCAGAATAGTTTTCAGTGTCTGATGAGGAATTTCCCCCACGAATCATTATCACTCAATTCTGCAAGTGGTTCTGATTTACTATCGCTGTTCTCTAGCCGGTCTAAAACCGATTTTGACCTAAAGGGACGCTTTTTGGACACCATGGACGTTTCTCAGTTTCCAGGCAGAAAGAACAGACGCTATTTGACGCTATAACTTTCACGTAAACCAATTAATTTACACGTATTGGGATTATTTTTTTTAGCAAAGACATGGAGCAGAATACATTTTGGCCTAAATTTAGTTGCATTTTTTTTACTGGACATGTTTAATAGTAAAAAGTCAAAATATTGGTGTTTTTTTTCAAAATTGTAGGTCTTTTTTTGTTTATAGCGCAAAAAATAAAAAATGCAGAGGAGATCAAATACCACCGAAAGAAAGCTCCATTTGTGGGAAAAAAGGACATAAATTTAATTTGGGTGCAGCATTGCATGACCGCGCAATTGTCAGTTAAAGTAACGCAGCGCCGTATCGCAAAAAAATGCTCTGGTCGGGGGGGGGGGGGGGGGGGGGGGGGGGTAAATCCTCTGGAGGTCAAGTGGTTAAAGTCACATGATTTCAAAGTTGCATGTTGGAGTCACACTGATCTCAACGGGTCCATTGCGAATTGTCATGAGATTTGAAACTCAAATCGCATCGGTGTGAACAGGGGCTTACAGGAGCTTTTTGTTTTTAAGTCAGCAGCAGACTCACTTTATTTGTAGTTATGATATGAATATGCTTCTGACGCCTTTATTATTTCACAAATCTGTTCACAGAGGAACAAGATCCTAAACCTGTGTTTGAGAAGCAACCATTGAATTGGCAGGATGATGTACAACTCCATTCAGAGTTCCTGGACAGAAAGGTACGCGTTAGGTGACGTATACGCCAACTTTCAGTCCAATTAAAAGCGCTGGCATTTTTTTTGTTTTATTTTTAATTAATTACAGCCGAGTTCAAGGTAAACAACTAAATACACAGAAATACATATAAGGGAGCACTTTACCTGCCAAAGGGTTTGAATTTATTCCTGTTCAGTTCCTAAGATTTACACAGCTCCGATACGGAGCACAGCTCTGTTTGGCCTGATTTTTTTTTCTTTGTTGGGTGCAGCCAGAACGCCGCAAAAACATTGACCCTGGAGGCACACTGTCTGCTTCCATGATCATTCAGAGGCTAATCCCCGCTTTACATATATGCAGCCATGCGGGCCGCATTTTGCTCAGGCACGAGAGCCCATTAATTTGAATGGACTCCCGTGCCCCGGGACACGCAGGGAAGAAGTCCCTGCATTTCTCTGGAAACCGCAGCCCCCACAGGAACCTCGGTTCCCAGTACGGTTGCGATATCTAGTGTGGGCGGCGTGCCATTATAATTAATGGCACCCGCCCGCTGGTCCGCATTCCTCTGTGCGGCTGCATGGATTTTTGTGGGGATCCGCAGCAGCACCACCCGCACAGATGTTAACCTAGCCTACGTGCATGTAACGACTCAGATGAGCGGTTAAATGCAAAGAGCGGCGGCGCTGGTCATTGACTACTACAGAGTACACATCTGACACTTGCCGCTGACAGCTACTGACTCTCGCAAGTGGCCACCCCTGGCTGTCACCATGCGAATGTGGCCCTGACGCAGGAAAAGGTGATCTAGGAGGCATAAAATATTTTATGAGCATAAGGGAAAAAGTGAGCGCTACAGGCAAGCTGCTGTAACACCAAAAAACCTCCCAAGATCAGTAGTGTAAAAAGTAGGTGCAGTGGTAAAATCAAAATAATCAAGAAACGATAAAGTGCAATACATCCAATAGACTGCAGAGTTAATCATAAACTAGCAGACATCAATAATTATTTATCCTTCCTAGATTGTAAGCTTGAAAGAGCAGGGCCCTCGATCCCCTCATGTTTTGCATTGTATTGGTATTGTTCTGTCACATGTTCTGTCCCCCTCTGTAATGTACAGCGCTGAGCGAACTATTGGCGCTTTATAAATACTGTATAATAATAATAATAATATCACTGTTCAACTGTTATTTGTAAAGTTCACTGCTAGTTTATGATTAACTCTGCAGTCTATTGGATGTATTGCACTTTATTGTTTCTTGATTATTTTGATTTTATTGTAGTTTTTACACTAATAAAATATTTTATACCTTCTAGATAACTTCTCCTGTCTTTAGAAAAGCTAGTCTGGAGTGCCGGTGTTAATCAAACTGTACAGATATTGTCCCTCCCCTAGCCTGTGACTGTGCAGTGAAAGGAAAAGCAGCTGACTTTTTAGTTCTTCTCTCTGCTCCCATCTCCTGTCAGTATGCCAGGTTAGTACAGGAGCGCTGCAGTCCATTCGGATTGTCTCCTGGAGCTGCTTCTCCCTATCCCAGTTGGAGTTCTTCTCTACAGCGGTTTCCAAGCAGCTAAAAACATGTCAAATTCAGGTACTTGTATGGCTTTCATTAAAAAAAAAAATAAATACACTTATTGGTGTATTGATAAATCCAGAGCTGTATTTTTATATTTAACCCCTTGGCGCCGGCACCTCCTTAACAGTTTCAGAAGCCAGGAGGCAGGGCAGGGTTTAGGGTCATGTGACCGCCGTGACACACCATCATAGCAGTCACATGATCGGGAAAAGTCCTGATCGAAAGAGGAGATCGGGACCTTTCCGTGAGTACCGGACATGCTGGGACCAAGTCGGAACCGCACCGATATGACCGCTGTAATTGTGGACAATAGGGTGCAACTTGGCATGCGATTTGCAAGTCATAGGGCATGCTGCAATTTGCATGCCAAGTTGCACCCGATGTGACCGGGATGTCAAGGTGGAATTCCAGTAAAAATAATACCTAAACCTGCTCCCACCCCCCCATTCTAAGACTATTCAAACTACCCTGTAAAGGAAACATGTCTATACTTACCTATGCTGAGGGTGCTCCAGTCATATGATCCGCAGCTTCTCTATAGAGGTGAGACACCGACAATGGCTGCCCCATAGTAAGTCTATGGATGATGTCATTGCCAGACTCTGCAGCCGTTATTGGTAATCTCTCTACTTCACTGAAGCCGCCACTGGAGAGATCACATGACCGAACCGGAGAGCCCTCAGAATAGGTAAGTATAGACATCTTTCCTTTACAGGGGAGTTAGAATGGGGGTGAGAGTAGATTTAGGTGTAGTTAGCATTTGACAGGAATTCCACTTTAACCAGTTCCCACCCGGCCTATAGACAAATGATGGCCAGGCGGGGGCTCTCTTGTTCTGTGTGGATGTCCTCCCTAGAACAGGCCACACTGCAGCACAATCAGTCCACCAAACACAGCCAATGACTGATCACTGTAACAGCCTGCTGCCGTTACCACGTGATCGCTGTAACCAATCACGACAAGTGTACAGAATGGATGGCTTTCATTCTTACCATCCATTGTGTTGCTCACTGTGATTGGTTATAGTGATCACATGGTACAGGCAGGGCCAATTACAGCCCATGTGATTAGCTGTGGCCAATCACAGCCCATCTGTACCATGTGCCTAGCTGTGGCTATTCAAAGCTAATCACAAAACACACTGAATAAATAGATTTCATTTAGTAAAAAAAGATTATATACAGTGGAATTAAATGATAATGTGTGTAGAAAAAAAAATCCTGATCACCTCCTCAGAGTAGTACAATGTTTTTCTCTGGTCACAGTATGTTAAAAAAAAAAAAAATTTGTACTGGAAAAAGAAAAAAAAAAATGTTTTTTTTTAACATACTGTCACCAGTCAGTGTTCCTGATCACTGCCACACCAGTTAGATGATGACAGTATGTTAAGAAGAACAACAAAAAAAATGAAAAAATGTAATTATATAATTTTCCCAAAAAAGTGACCGAAAAAAAAAAGAAAAAACTTGCCATGCCTCTTACTAAATACCTTGGACTGTCTGCATTCCTAAAACAAAAACAAAAAAAAAAAATCAGTACATCAGGACTGATCAATTTTCAGATATATATCCCAAAATTTGTGGGCTCTAACTTTCTTACAGACTAAATAATATACAGTACACAGATTTGGATTTTTTTTTTAACCAAAGAAATGTAGCAGTATATGTTTTAGCCTAGATTTATGAAGAATGATTTTTTTACAGTGCCTTGAAAAAGTATTCATACCCCCTTGAAATTTTCCCCATGTTGTCATGTTACATAAAATCCCAATAAAATACGTTTTTTTTGGTTGTGATTGTGTTAGCCTAAGTGGCACATAATTGTGAAGTGGAAGGAAAATGAGAAATGGTTTTCAAATTTTTTTTACAAATATCTGAAAAGTGTGGCATGCATTTGTATTCAGCCCCCTGCCCCTAACTAAAATCTAGTGGAATCAACTGCCTTCAGAAGTCACCTAATTAGTAAATAAGAGTCCACCTGTGTGTCATGTGATCTCAGTATAAATACAGCTGTTCTGTGAAGCCCTCAGGTTTGTGAACAAACAGCATCATGAAGGCCAAGGAACACACCAGACAGGTCAGAGATAAAGTTGTGGAGATGTTTAAAGCAGGGTAAGGTAAAAAAAAAAAAAATATATCCCAAGCTTTGAACATCTCACAGAGCACTGTTCAATACATCATCCGAAAATGGAAAAAGAGTACGGCACAACTCAAAACCTACCAAGACATGGCCGTCTACCTAAACTGACAGGCTGGGCAAGGAGAGCATTCATCAGAGAAGTAGCCAAGAGGCCCATGGGAACTCTGGAGGAGCTGCAGAGATCCACAGCTCAGGTGGGAGAATCTGTCCACAGGACAACTATTAGTCGTGCACTCCACAAATCTGGCCTTTATGGAAGAGTGGCAAGAAGAAAGCCATTGTTGGAAAAAGCCATAAGAAATCCCATTTGCAGTCTGCATGAAGCCATGTGGGGGGCACAGCAAACATGTGGAAGAAGGGGCTCTGGTCAGATGAGACCAAATTTAACTTTTTGGTCTAAAAGCAAAACACTATGTGTGGCGGGAAACTAACACTGCACATCACCCTGAACACACCATCCCTACTGTGAAACATGTTGGTGCCAGTATCATGTGGTGGGGATGCTTTTCTTCAGCAGGGACAGGGAAGCTGGTCAGAGTTGATGGTAAGATGGATTGAGCCAAATACAGGGCAATCTTAGAAGAAAACCTGCTGGAGTCTGCAAAAGATTTCAGAATGGGGCAGAGGTTCACCTACCAGCAGGACAACGGCCCGCAACGTCCAGCCAGAGCTGCCATGGAATGGTTTAGATCAAAGCGTCTTCATGTGTTAGAATGGCCCAGTCACAGTCCAGACCTAAATCCAATGGAGAATCTGTGGCAAGACTTGAAAATTGCTGTTCACAGACGCTCTCCATCCAATCTGACAGCTTGAGCGCTTCTGCAAAGAATGGGAAGAAATGTCCCTCTCTAGATGTGCAAAGAGACATCCCCAAAAAGACTTGCAGCTGGAATTGCAGAGAAAGGGGGCCCTACAAAGTATTGACTCCGGGGGGCTGAATACAAATGCTGCCATCCCCATCCCACATACATCCCACACACCCCGTACATCCCGCACACCCCGTACATCCCGCACACCCCGTACATCCCACACACCCCGTACATCCCATACATCCTGTACTCCTCTTACATCTCTTCACAGATTTATTTGTAAAACACTTTTCACAGATTTATTTGTAAAACATGTTGAAAACCATTTCTCATTTTCCTTCCACTTCACAATGATGTGCCACTTTGTGTTGGTCTATCACATCAAATCCCAATAAAATACATTTATATTTTTGGTTGTGACATGACAAAATGTGGGAAATTTCAAGGGGTATGAATACTTTTTCAAGGTACTGTATCTGCTAAATTTTATAGCAGAAAAAGAAAATTAGTTTAACTTTCTCTCCTAGACCATCTGCTCCCTTAGTTCAGGTTTCATTATGTACCAGGCCTTGTACAGGATCAAATGAAGAATCAAGCAAGCCACCTAAAGAATGCAAAAGGAAGAATGATTTCAGAGATTGTGTGACTTTTATTTTCAAATGCACCAAAAGCTGTCCTCACATACTCTGCACCTCAGAAGATGACTCTTTTCAACCAGCCCTCAGATTGTGATTTTCTCCTTCTGTCTCCATTCAGGCGGAGCTGATATCAGATCATGAAACGTATCTGCGCCAGCACCCTGAGATGAAAATTCTCCTGAGCGACTTCATGCAGTTCCTTCTCCTTCAAAAACCTGATGACGTCTTCACTTTCGCTGCAGAGTTTTTTGCTCCTTTTTCTTCAACAGCAGAAAGAGGCAACTCGTTCCGATCGTCCAAGGTGTCTAACCCTTTCCGTGATGTCACCAATAAGACACAAGAATCTTAAATCTAATCTACATGCTCACTCTTCACTCTGTATACACTTTAAAAAGTTATTAAATACAATTAAAAAAATCTTGAAGCCACGCTTACTTTTATTCATTCTTAGCATTTATCCAGCTAAAGATGCCATTGAAAGGATACGTTCACCTTTGGGAACATGGAACATGTTCCCCAATGCTGCAGCCGCCGCCTCTCTGCTCCCTGTGGCCAAAGTACAGGGAGAAGTTCCCCAGATTAGCTGTCACTTTTTAATAATATCATGGCCATGCGAAGCGCTGCCCACTTCATTCATTCATTCAATGAATGATCTACAAGGCCGCACACCCATGGCATAGCAACAAACTTCAGTACATTAAATTGTCTATAGGCAACACTTTAAAAGCCTTTACAGGTTAAAAAGTTAGAATTACATATGAAGTCTGGCAGGAGACTTATTGCTCACTCTGACATTTGCAGCAATACCTCATATGTGTGGTGTGATCGGTTTACAGGTGTGTGGGGGACCTATGGGCACGTTTGCATGTGAGCACAGGGGTGCCTTTTTTTTTTATTAAAATTTTTCTTTTAAAACATTGTACCTTTTTTTTTATTTTTTTTTTTATCAACTTTAGTACCATCACAAGTAATGAACAACAATCCTTATAATAGCATAGGTCCTGACAAGTCCTCTTTATTAGACCCCATATCTCTCTCCTCTAGCCTCCAAAGCATCTAATGAAACAGTAGAAGTGGTAGATTGGCTGTATAGACACTTGAAGCACTAGCTGAAAATGTTGATCCTAGGATGACGCCTGCAGCTGAAGGCAGCATCCCAATATAACCACTTCAACCTGAAAACAGCCTATAGCAGGAAATGGTACAAGTAAGCTTTACTTTTCCTATGGCTGGTTTAGCAAAGTATAACTAGAAAAAAATTTTTTTTTTGCTTTTTGCTTTTTTTTTTTTTTTACCCCTTTAGTTTTAGTTAGCGTGAAGAGGAATTATAACACCTGTCAGATTTTTTTCACTGTCTGTGCCCCTGTTAAAGCAGCACAAAACAAAAGCCAACAAAGCAATACAAAAGCCAAAATTTTTTTTAAAAAGCTCCACACAAAAAAAAAAAAAAAAAAGCAGTTTCCCCTGGAAAATAACGTCATAATGTGCTAGTATGCATTGCATACTAGCCCCTTATGAAAGACTTACCTTAGAACAAAGCCCTCCAGCAGCACGCTGTCACAGCTTCCATCTTTATCCGGTATTCCTTCCAGGTTCAGACTCTGGCCCTTTGACTGGCTGAGCCACGATGACGTCACTCCTGTGCAAAGTCTCGGCCGCAACACAGAGCTTTGAAGGAACAACTATGTGGTTCCATCATCGACTGTAGGGACAGTAAATATCTCCTAAACGGTGCATGGTTAGGAGATATTCCTTGTACCAACAGGTAAGCTTTCCTGTAGATACACGTGTCCAGTGGGAGTTTACCTCCACTTTAAAAAGGAGATTCAACCTCTCTACTTGTCCTGTTTACAGTTATTTAAAAAAAAAAAAAAAATTTATATATATATTTCTCACAGTGGCTAAATGGTTAGCACTTCTGCTTGGCAGTATTAGGGTCATTCGTTTGAATCCCAACCATGGCATCACCTGCCTGGAGTTTGCATGTTCTCCCTGTGTCTGTGTGGGTTTCCTCCCACCCTCCAAAGACATGCTGGTAGGTGAATTGTCTCCTGTCTAAATTGCCCCTAGTATGTGTATGTATGAATGTGAGTTAGGGACCTTAGATTGTACACCCCTTGAGGGTTAGGGACTGATGTGAATGTATAAAGCACTGCAGAAATTGACGGCGCTATAAGTACCTATAATATATACATATTACTCTTGCAGGTGTTATAACCCGGCCATGTTCTATCCAAAATGAAAAATGTTTCACCTATAGTTCTACTTTAATTTCTTCACACACAGCAACTTTGCAGGCTGGGCATCTAACCCTCTAAAAAGGTCTCCACTTATGGCACCAACTGTTATTGTCAAAATGTGGATACAAGCCCTGGAAATGAATATCCTGCACATGGTGTACTGGAGCACTCACATTCACATGCTGTGCAATCATCACGTTATATTAGCTTCTCTATGGTGTGTTGACCTCTACTATTCCACCCAAACTTCTCCTTTTTCTCACACAAACCATGGACAGTAAGGAGTGACACCATGACAGGAATTAATCTCCATTGATATATTGCTAAATAGATTACAGCAAATGTCCCGAGTTATGAAATATTTCCAGCATCAAAACCTATTTATACATCTGTTGTGTGGCTGCACTTAAAGGGGTAGTGAAATTGTTTCATTTTTACCTCCAGGTAAGCCTTATCTCCTAAACACACACCATTTAGGAGATATTCTAGCAAGCAAAAGCCGGTGAGGTCACTGTGCATGCGCTCTGAAGAAACGCCATACCCCTGCCATTCCTTCAGAGCTCTGGGCCGTACTCAGAGCTCCTGTGCGCATGCGCAGGAGTGACGTCATTGCAGCTTGGCCAAAAGGCCGGAGCCCACGAACATGGAAGAAGATTGAAAACGTGCCCTGTCTCCGTTGACAGGGATTCAGAGTCTAGCAAGTCAATGAAACTCCGGGGATATTGATCTGGTCAGGTAAGTAGCAGAGGGCTTTGTTAATCAGTTTCAGCTGCTTTGGTGTTAATCAAATAACAGGGGCACTAGATGGGTAACAATGAAACAATCCCCAAAACAGGAATGGTTTTGCAGGTGGAGGCCACTGACATTTTTTTTCCCGTACTCATCTTTTCTGACTGTTTTTCACTAGTTTTGCATTTGGCTAGGGTCAGTGTCACTACTGGTAGCATGAGGCGATACCTGGACCCTACAGAGGTTGCACAGGCAATCCAACTCCTCCAGGATTGCACATCAATATGTGCCATTGCCAGAAGGGTTGCTGTGTCTCCCAGCACAGTCTCAAGAGCATGGAGGAGATTCCAGGAGACAGGCAGGTACTCTAGGAGAGCAGGACAGGGCCGTAGAAGTTCCTTAACCCATCAGCAGGACCGGTATCTGCTCCTTTGTTCAAGGAGGAACAGGATGAGCACTGCCAGGGCCCTACAAAATGACCTACAGCAGGCCACTGGTGTGAATGTCTCTGACCAATCAGAAACAGACTTCATAAGGGTGGCCTGAGGGCCCGACTTCCTCTAGTGGCTCTGTGCTCACTGCCCGGCACTATAGATTCTATTGGCATTTGCCATTGACCACCAGAATTGGCAGGTCCACCACTGGCGCCCTATGCTTTTCACAGATGAGAGCAGGTTCACCCTGAGCACATGTGACAGACGTCAAACGGTCTGGAGATGCCGTGGAGAACGTTCTGCTGCCTGGAACATGGTTCAGCATGTCTGCTTTGGTGGTGGGTCAGTGATGGTCTGGGGAGGCATATCCATGGAGAGACGCACAGACCTCTACAGCCTAGACAATGGCATGCTGACTGCCATTAGGTATGTGGATGAAATAGTTGGACCCATTGTCAGACCCTACGCTGGTGCATGGGGTCCTGGGTTCCTCCTGGTGCACAACAATGCCTGGGCTCATGGGGAGAGTATGCAGGCAGTTTCTGGAGGAATTGATACCATTAAATGGCCCAGAGGCTCGCCTGACCTACATCCAATAGAACACCTCTGAGATATCATGTTTCAGGTCCATCTACCGACACCAGGTTGCACCTCAGACTGTCCAGGAGCTCAGTGATGCCCTGGTCCAGATCTGGGAGGAAATCCCCCAGGACACCATCCGTCATCTCATTAGGGGCCTCCCCCGCTGTTGTCAGGCATGCATACTAGCACATGGGGGCCATTCTCAGTTGCTGCAATGAAATTTCAGCAAAATGGACTAGCCTGCTGCATAATTTTTTTCACTTTGAATTCAGCCCACTGTAGGTTGATCATTTCCATCAAAGACACCCCGAAAATCAAACAATGGGGCATCCTTACATATTACCCCGTCCATATCAGTATAGATATCCAGCAGGAGGATTTTTCCCCATTGAGATCTGATTCAAAGCATTCCGTTCATTTTTTGGAGCAATGTACAAGATGCTAGGATGCAGTGTATACTAGCAAATTATAGCTTAAACCTGCAGAGGGGAATTTTTTTTTGTTGCCTTGTAACTTTATTACCACTTTACTGGCAGACATTGGAGGAAAAGAAGTTACAATGGGGTTTACTGTCCCCTCTAGATCATTAAAGAATTTTAAATGATAATATTGTAGCGGGGAAGTACATGGTTACCGCACTGGTACATTAAATGCATATAATATCTTACCCTTTCCCTGTCAACATGCAATGTGTCAAACTATTTGGTTTAAGACATACCTAAAGAAACCCAGTAACATCACTGGCTGTGTCTGCATTCCTCTGTGGTGGTAGGGAGGGACCAGCAGACTTCAGCACCCTGCCTTGCCTCTTCCAAAGCAATACTGTACATGAAGGAATAGATCATTGGCATCCCTTTAGACATGCATTGTTTTTCCCTGCAGGCCACTAGGCGTTCATTGCTGTGCAGTCTGGCAATCAGTGTCTTCAGCATGCACATCCAAGGCAACATGCATGCAGGAGGGTGTGTAAAGCAGCCAGCAAGAATGAGTAGATTCTTGCCAGTGGATGTAAATGCTGCTTGCACAAACCGTGTGTGAACAGCTGCAGGTGTCAGAAGCTGTTGGTTCTGTACAAATCAATGGCAGGCACTGCTGCTGTTCACATGTAACCACTCACCCGAGCCAGGATACGTTCAGGGTCAGAATTTGTGGTGTATGGGCCACACAAACATGCTGCAGCTAATCAGCCATAGCAGAGACTGTTACTGCACCTACAGGCAGCAATTAGCTGCCTCTGAACATCAAAGTATCAGCACACAAACCAGCCTAAAAATATCAAGGATGCATGCTTTCAAACGAAACACTGTTGGCAGAGAAAGTCAATAGGTACTTGGGAGGCAATGGCAGTATAGATCAGGAGATGG